CACCGTGTCCATGAGCTGAACCATCGACAGGGGTTGCTCTTCGGTGCCGCGCTGGCGTGGGAGCGCTAAGCGAAACCCCGCCGGGGTATCACGAAGTTCGGTCAATAAACAGCGAGTTCCCCATGCAGGGGATGAGACAACATAAGCACGCCAACCCTGAGAGCTGTCCTAGCTTCGGCCTGTTACATCGGGGAGGCAGGGTAGCTCTCGACTAACAGAGCCCGAGGCACCACACACACCAGCACGGTGATCAGGCAACTTCGCGAGCGGGGCGACGGACCGATGGGGAAAGTCGTCAATAAAAATGCGCTGCCATCACGGTTCTGGGCTGGCTGGAAAAAAACGGAGAACGGCATGGGGTGTTCCGAGATGGGTGTCCTTGGACCAGAGTGCTCCATTTCTCTCCGTTCGATGCGGGGGATCACTTGACAATCAATCAGTCAATCGGCCAGACGAAGCAAAGATCCTCTTGTCCAATCACTGCTCGCGTGCCTCTTCGCCCATGACCCAGGAGAATGGTCGCAGGCCTGGCGGCTAACGTACACGAATCAGCTTCCCTCGCTGCCCTGGCCAGTTCTAGTGTGAGGGAACGAAAAGCAACCGCGCTGGGAGACCAAATCACAATCCTGGATCCCTTGTCGCATACCCCTCCAAGCAGTCGGTTGGCTGGAGCACCATCCTGCATTTGGCAGTCTACTCGTCCCCATCGAGACAGGACCGTTGCTGCAGAACACCACCATGAGGGTGGGCTGGGCTTTGAGGAGTGAATGTGGGTGGGGGGCAGAGGTTTTGGACGAGTAGGGAGGCTCGCGGCACGGAAAGCCATGCTTCTAGCGGCCAATAGCTGTCAAACTGTGATTGAGTTGGTGTGGTCGGTCCGCCGAGGCCTTGGTGATAATACGGCCGGGTTGGTTATATCTCGTCACAACACTGCCCGCCTCCCAACACACACACCTAGCTAGCTGTTGATTCTTTTCTTCGTTTATCAATCCTGTCTCTCCCGTCTCTTTGTTTCTGTTGTGACTTTCAGCTATGATTTCTGCTCTGTGAGCATCTTGCGATATCGGCCAATACTACTACGACCCTTGCAGCCCCGATTGACCGTCCTTGCACCGCCCATTCCAACGTGAACTTGTTGGGGAAATCAGTAGGCTTGATGGATTTCATGGGCGCTGCCAGCGCAATGCGCCATATCCCTACTGTGAACACAAGCAAGAGCAAACATGTTATCCGACAGCCGAGCTTCAAAGACCGTATTATTAAAAAGAAGAAGAAACACACCGAGAGTGAGCCCGAACGAGCTAACTCAATTGACACCGCGATCGACGAACTGGCGTAAGTGGCTGCTCTTTTTTCGGTCTGTTTCTTAACTTTATTCACCTTCGCCTCTAGCGGTTGATAATTCCAATCTATCGTTCCTCGTCTCGTGCTGTAGCTATAGTCATGGTCTAGAATCTCACATACGTCAAATAGGCATCGTGTGACGCGGATGAACAGCGTCGACTCTGTCTCCCCCCCAATAAGCAACCACTCTAGCCTCAAAAATGATTATACCTTCAATACAGCCCCTCCTACGAAGCTGATGCGGCAAGATGCCCCGCCATTGTCTCTTCAATGCTATCAACAGTACTCTCCACAGACGCCCCGAAGACCGTCCACTTCCAACAGCCGTGAACACAACGCTCCCTGGCCGCTGACGGAATATCCAAGAGCTTCGCTCGATACGCCAGCCATCTCACCGCTACAAAGGATGCCCTCGGACGGTAGAAACAGAAGTCAGTCCGTCTCAACAGCATCCACCCACGCCTCTGTTCACAGGAAGCGATCTTCGGTTGCCCCAATGGACGCAAACCCTTTCCCAGCTCCTGCCAGACCGTTGCCGCCTGTTCCGCCAAACTTCTTTCCTGCCTCGCGCCGTCGTGAGTCACCAATCGATATTGACGTCTCTTCTCCATCTTCAGGCAGGTCCTCACGTGTCGGAGGCTCGGGTAGATCATCGCACGTCGAATACACCTCGCAGTCCCCCCAGCAATATTATGCCTCCCAGTCTCCGCAACAATCTACGATGCCTCCACCGTCCAGGAAGACTCCTAGGCGGCCGCCTCGACCAAATACCGGATTGGAAGTTGGGTTCAACGTGATGTACCGCAAGCAGCTCCTTTTAGACAAGAAGCGAAAGGGGGAGGAGGTCAATCTGATTGATATTTCCAGTTCTGGAGCTACGATTGCCGTCAAGGAAGGTAAAAAGGCCATTCGGTTTTGGGATGTGATCCGCGATGATGTACTCTCGGTTATCAAAATATCCTCTTATATCGAGGCCGGGACAAGATCTCGCGAATATCTCGTCCGCAGTCATGTGGTCATATCAGATAGCGCAAGGCTGGCCGCTGTTTCTTCTCGATTTGGCAGAACTCTTGAGATATGGAACTGGGAGGAGAGGAAGAAGCTCCAGACGATTGATAATACGGACCGATGGGTGACAGGTCGGTTCGAATCATTTGACGGATGGTGGACCCCCTTGGCTGCGTATAGGGGTGAAGACAACGTCATCGACCTTTACGCCGCGACAAAGCACAAGAAGCCCTTTGCAAAGGTGAGAAACATTGATCTTTGCAAGGCCGGACTGCCTTTCATTCCTCAATACCCCGAGCTTGCGGTTTCGCCCACATCCCCGCTTCTGATCGCGGCTTCGGGGCCTCGTACGGCCAGAGCAGGCCGTCCGCCACCCAAGCGAGAAGCAATTATAGTAGCATGGGATATATCTGACTACAGAGAGGTATCCAACCAGCCGATTGGGACAGTTGATCCATGGCTCTATCCAGAACTGGAGATGGCCATTCCCTGCGCGTTGGAAACCTTTGAGAGCCTCGTGGTTTCGATCTGGATTCCACCCAGCCAGCGTGCGTACAAGCAGAGCGTCCCTGGATCACAGGAGTTAGAATGGAAACTAGCTCCCATCGACGTCCCAACCCGCTACGTCTTCGTCTGGGACCTGTCCAAAGGTTCTACTAACCTCTACGGCATCCCTAATACGACAAGCTGTATCAGCCCCAACTGCCGGTTTGTCGCGTACAGCACCACATCTAGGAATGGGAGGAATCAAGTCACGATTTTAGACGCCAGTACAGGGCAGGAAATGTGGTCTATGGATGGGATAAGGAGATGGGGTGGCGAGGACGATGAAGCAGACGCCTTCGGCAAGATCACCTCGCTGGCTTTTTCGAGCGACGGCAAAATGCTGGTCATCTCAGACGCAAATGGGAGCACGTTCATTTTCGACGTGCTGGAACGTGTTGTTGGACTGTGAAACGGCAGGTAAAATTGCATATGGGCCACAAAGGCAACTAAATTTTATTAGTTAATAGCTAAAATGTCACAAACAAACTACTTCAGAAGGTCTTTCTAGTACACAATCAGTGTCATTATGCTCTTTTGTCACCACGTTCCAAATTCTGGGCCACAGGCTGAGTAGGGGTCTTTGGCTGAAGTGTATGGCATGTAATTCCTTAAACTCAACCAAATGTCGTTCCGTTGACCGAACTACAGTAGCATAAATTTGCAATTCTCCTTTTACCTTATCTCCGTCAGATATCGAGCTCTGAGTCTTTATATACAGTTTAATTTTCAAAGATACAGTAAAAACAGGGGTGAAGGCATATTAATTATATCAAGCTTCATCCACTCGAAGCATCGTACAACTTCCCGCCTCCCCGTTTCTAGTTCAACTCATTCTCTTTCGTAACTTGTAGATGGAATAAATGGAGATCAGGGGATAATGCTGTGCTGAGCACTGAACTTGAATGCAGCCATATTAGAGCATATCCCATTGCAAGGTTCGTTGGCTTCGGGTATACGCGTCTAGACACCACGGGAAACCAAAGTTCCATTTGACTTGCTTCTACCAACGGATACTGGCGAGTGGGCTGCGCGTCTTTTAGCTAGCCGATACAACGCTAGGTGTGATGGCACAATACTACACAAAAGTAACATTTGCACCCCGGTCGTTTATGTGATGGCACAGTGTCAGCGTTTGCTGTAACGCTACCCGAGGAACTAAGATGCAACAGCAGACTTTATATATCTCCGCAATCGGGGATATGGGCGGATATAGAGCTCAAGTGTTGTTGGTACTTTGCCGAGCTGCTGTCGTCGGCTGTGCTTGATCTCACTTCACACAGAGTAATAACGGTTTTCTGATTAGAAGAAATACGACTTCGACCCAGTTGTGTCGCCCTTCTGTGCACCAAAGTGGAAGCCTACATCCCAACTACGAATCACTGAATAGAAGCTAAGTATCAAAGACACTCCTCTTCTAAACTACAATTGTGTGTTTAAATAAAACATGAAAAGGAAATCTCAACAACATGAATTTAGCCCACCACGTCATTAGTATCTTACCACGGGCGGCACGATAGGATGTTGTCCTATTCTCCTAAAGGTCAATAGTTCTAAGAGTTTAGCGAGAAAGGAGCTCCCAAAGATGGCGTACAGCACTAATGCGAGTCAAACTTGTCATTCATTTAGTTAAGTTTAGCTTCCTAGTAGTATACTAAACAGGCCGAGGTCTTACACCACGCCTGTATGGTGTGTGGAATTGTGACGACGGTCACTATCCGTCAAGTTCTTTTTTGTGGCCTCATCGTGAAATGCCGTCAGCGTTCAAGTTATCGAATTATCATAAACCCAGTCCTCAATGCGTGGTTATTACGGGGTTCTGGCTATTGGCTACTCATACACAGAGCTTCAATCTAATATCAGATGTATTTCGTATCGCTCGCCCTGTACGGCAAAGTGCGAGAGCGGTAATGTCTTCCAACTCCAAAGGCTTCTATATACATGCGCCCTGTCCTCTATGATACTGTATTCTACTACAACCCAGCCCGTATTCTATATGAGGTGGACATGTGCGTTTATCTGTGTATTCTTCTATAAAGGACCAATTCAAAGAAAGAGATAATCTATAGGCATGCATGGTTGATGTGAAAGGGTATCATTGCGGATTAGGCGGCTTGCTTGATCTCTTCGACAACCGAAGCAGGAGCAGCATCAGCAGCTGGGGTCGCCTCGGGGGCAGCAGTCTTAGTAGCTTCAACAGCCTTGGCCGCTGCAAGCTTCGTCTCCCACTTGGCGGGCTTAACGAATTCCGGATCGTGCCATGGGCCGGCGTCAGAGTTCTCGCAGCCGCCTTCGCACTGGCAGGAACCGCCAAACTCCTTTGGCAGATTCTCAGCCGGGACCTGCTTGAGGACCTCGCTCTTGTATCCAGAACCCAAAATATGGATCTTGGAAACAGTGACGGGATCCAGCCAGCCCTTGATGATGCTCCAGACTGTCGAGAATCCCCAGGGGGCGTTGATCAGGTAGAGCTTGCCTAGGCGCTCGGGGTAGTAGTTTTGGGAGATCACGGTGACCTGGCTGACGTAGTTGTAGACCGAGGGGACCTTGGCCAATGTGACGCCCTTGAGATCCATGATGCTGCAGCTGGTTTCAAGCAAGGTGCCGGCCTTGCGAGAGCAGGCAGGGAGACGAGGGTCGGATACACGCTCATACTCGACGGCCAGGTTCGTGAGCATGCGTTCAGCGGTGGTGATCTTGTACATGGCGTTCAGGTCAATTCCACCGAGAGTCTCAATGTAAAGAGGACGGCCATCCTAGAAAGAATGTGTCAGTGCCCGTCTTCAATCTACAAGAACATTCTGGTTCAAACCTTGTCGGTCTTGTGGTAAAACTGCTTGTAGTACTTGGCCACCTCTGGCTTCTCAGGGTAGTCCCAGGTGGGAAGAGTCTCATCAAGCTTGCTCTCCTTTCGCCACTTCTCACAGTCAACGAACCTTCCAAAGGGTCAGTTCCGCTTCCTCTATTTTGATCTCAATTTAAACGACATTAAGGCACGCTTACATCTGCTTGGCCAAGTTGACATCAAACTTGCGTGCACGGAGGAATCGCAACTACATCCAAATCCACATTAGCACGTGCTCTTCCCTTTGTTGACATTTCCAAGGGCATACCAGTGTTAGGGTATCCAGGCGCTCAGTATAGCCCTCGGCCTCTAGCATCATCCGTAGCTGATGAACCTGAGCAATCTGCTGATCGGTCAAGTGTCCGGCATGGCCAGATTGCTTCTCAGCTGCTATGTGGGGGAAATCATAGTCGTCGTACTTAGGGTTCAGATCCATGGTGGGCAACAGGGGGTGGGGAGTGGCAAGAGCGGGATAGGATGGGATCTCTTTCAAATAGGATAGGTATGTCTCTAGGAAGGAGCACGAGGAAAAAAAAACAAAGAGCGGACTGGAGCAGATTATAGGGGGTGGGCTGCGCCGTTGGCTGGCTGAGCTAAGTGGCTGGTGACAGCTCCAGATGGATGGGGGCAAATTGGCTCGAACTGGGCTAGAATGCCAATTGGTGGGCAAGGAGGGCTTTTTTTGATATTGCGAACTCTTCCGGCAAAAAGGAAAATCCGTCCCCGGCCGACGAAGAATGGAGATGACATAAGAACGGCACCTCCATCTTGAGGCAGGTGGAGATGAGCAATCCCCCTATTCCCTTCCCCTGACTAAGATTGATTGCGTTAACGTGTCCACTGTCCACCGTAATCAATTCATTCTGAGTTGATTCCTTTGGAGGTACCGCGGCAATAACTAAAAAATGCACCATTTTGCAATGTGAATGAAAGCCTTGATCCGAAAGAAGAAGTTTCTCAGCCTCGTCCAATTTTTCTGGATCATCGAATATCCTCAGCCTCGGCGATATTCCCCCTTGAATTCATCGCCAAGAGGTCGTCAGAGATTAAGCCTTGGCCAAAGAGCTCCTTCCCCTTTATCTCTTCCTTCTATTATAAGCATAATGAACCGACAGTTGACTAACGTTTGTTAGCACTGTTGTATTGACCGAGTAACGGGACCATCGCGATAATTTCTCGATGCATCAGATACCAAGATCTCTCCTCCTTTTTTCAAGCTGTAATTTTTTCCTTCGGCTTTGAACCCATTTTCTTTGATCGAAACCTCAACATTCGCTTTTGAAGGTATTAGACTACAGTATCCATAGAATCCACATGGTGACATCCAATCGCAAAACGTCCTCTAATTGGGGAAAAAGGGTATTAGCGAGGGCCTGACACAAAATATCCCCTTTGGACTTCACACCTTCTCGATTAATAACCCAAGCAAAGAGGCATCTTCCACATAACCTTTCAGGACACTTTATGTGGGTGGAATATCGCTATATTTCCACCAAGTCGGTTTCTTTCTTCCCATCTTTGTCATCAGAAAGGTAGAAGCAAAGTATATAACCAAGCCTTGCAAAATAGACTCTGTGCATAGATTTGGTGTCCATGTGCCATATAATGTAGGACGACCTATCTTTCAGCATGGTCCGGATCCTGTATGCCTCACTCTCGAATCTGCTTCCAGAATACAGCAAGGGGACGTTTCATTTGACAAGTACTATTCCTCGTCCTCTGAATCAGTTGCCCATTCCTCCCAGTTGAATGTCTGGAGGGGCAGACTACGCATGCGATATCTATGCCACGCTCTGTTGATCCTCAACGCCAATTCTGACCTTTCGGCTGTCTGGCGACGTGTTTCTATCGTGTTGATCTCTGGACTGATAATTCCTGCTTCCTTGAAGCGCTGGATCCGATGAAGAATTTCCTGGCAGTCTTTCCAGATGCGCTTTCGATTTTGCAAGCCCCGAAGACGCCCCCAATTTGTCGTCAAATCGCAATACAGCCTATACCAGTCTGTTTTTTCTCTGGACAATAAATACACAGGAGTTGGTGAGGGCAGTTCACTCTCGCTGGTTGAAGTTGAATAAGGTTTCGGTGTGCTGTTCCCCGGCCTAATAACAGGAATGCTCTGTTCGAAGTTGAATCTTTTTTCTTGCCACTCTAGCCCGTCTTCTGTGAATGGTGCAGGCTTCTCTGAGGCCCAGAACGAGTATTTCAAATCTGACCAAATCTCCCACAGCCAGGGGCATTCCCTCCGAAGGAGATAGCGAAAGAAGGATTGAGGAAGTTGTCGGAAAGTGTGAGACGCAAGTCGTAGTGTGGCAATATCTTGAGGGGAGAGGTGCGAGAGAACCATAAATCGTAACTCATAAGGAAGGACAGCAAATATGTCGCTTGTTTGGTGGGGGTCGCGGGAGCTGATGTCGATGGCGTCTTCATCCAAGCTCGATATGGATGCGCCGCGAGATGCTGCATTCTCAAATATTGAGGGAAGCGCCGGAACAAAGACAGGGTTAGCAACCAACGCTTCATCTCCTCGGCAGTGATTCCACTGCTGCGGAATACTGGGGTCATGGTCCCAAGCAGTACCACGGCGGACGGCCTCATCTCGAGGAAACGAGGCAAACGTTTCGAAGTCTGCCTCAAGACAGTACCAATAATATAGTGCCTCCATGTCTACGTGACCAAAGCGCAGTAGAGAGGCACGTTTATAAACTTCAAGACAGGTTGGGTGGAATGGCATGCCTGTCAAATGGGCGTAATCAGGACTGTTAAAAAAGTTGGCGGCAATGCATGAACCTAGACCATGGCGTTCAGGGAAGAAGAGCCCAACTCTACTGCGAATGGGCATATTGTCGGAAAGGCCAGTGAGCATAAAATCCGAGTTGGACTCGAAGTCTGCGTCGTCAAGCTCGGGGACGGTGAATTGCGGCTTTGGTATCAGACATTGACACGTACAGCACCCGAGCATCTCCTCAGCGGATATGAAATTTCCATTATATGCACCGTCACATGGACAGTCTGGACCTGCTAAATGCTCCATCGTCCACATGGCGATGGAGTCGTTGCCCAGGGTCGGGATCGGCTCAATGTGGCTGGGTGTTGCAGCGCCCGGACTGTCATCGGGGCTGTCCCAGGTAATGCAGATTGTTCTTTGGGACGCGTAGTTTCGGAAACTTCTATCGATGACGCTGCACCCTCCTCGTTGGCAGCCCGTGGAGTTGTTCCATGAGTGTCGAGAGAAGTCGTCGCATGGCCCCGTGCCGGTACCGGCGAGAGCTTCCTCTCTCGTCCGGTGACGGCCGATGGTGAATCCCACGCCGCAGATCTGGCAGCATGTCAGCGGCAGCCTGTCCATCCTGCCGCTCGCTGTTTGGGCCAAGTGCGTGACGTGCTGGCTTGTTGGATGTGATCGAGATGGGATAAATTGCACGATATGAGAAGATGGACCTTTTGCGGCTAGTCAATTTGGAAATGTGGGCCCTCAAACGGTGCTATTGTTGTCTGGCGTGTTTGTAGGTGTTTTGGTGTTCTTTTAGCCGTGTAATTTAGGATCAGAAATGCATCAACCACATGCGAACCTCTGAAAACATACCTATGAACAAACTACATTTGAAGCGTTAACTCTCTATTTTAAAGCTGAATAGCTAAAGAAAACTCTATATTAAAACACTCCATATTCATTATAAATAAAATTACTTAGCACTCCGTCTATGAGTTTTGTTATATTTGTTTCGTACTAAATGATGGCTTTCGATATAGGGTAGCCATCAGCACTTGGGGGAAATAAAGATTATTTTTAACTTGTTGCCAAGGATTCAAGAGCTGAAATTAAGGCTTCGTTATTTAAACCATTCTTTCAGTTCTGCTCTTTGTATAACGCATCGGTGGCATAAAAAATATAGTCAAGGCATAGGGAGTGATCGCTTATTGAAGGTTCCGGAATGATCCCCGGCGCTCAACTATCTCAGCCCAACTGTGTGATTAACTGGTTTAACCTACGAAAATTTGGCTGGTCTAGCCTTTTTTTTGTTGCACTTGACCCATGAATAGAAGCCGGAATATTTTTCTAGGAAGCTAAACAACAGCTATAAACTGTTATTTGCAATATATGCTATGAAAAACGGCCCTAAGAATATCCACACCTGAGTCATTGAAAACCCCCCTTGTATATCCCCTTTCACTGACGACCAGCAAATCCCGAATACTAAGCCAGCCAGCACGAAAACCAGGGCAACAAAATAAACACTACTGGTATGCCACCCTCTCTTGAAGTGCAGACCCCAACCTAGAACCTCCTCATCTGGCGAGGCAACGAGGCGTCCACAAGTCCGTTTTGGCAGCTGCATCAGTATGCTCTTTTGCCTCGAGTCAATGCAGCCGGGAGACTTGAGAAAATGTGTAAGACGACTAGACACAATGACAGGCGTGGCTTCAGGCTGTTGATATGGTGCTGGACCACATCGGTATTCATTATCGATCCTGTCAAGGGGAGGGAGACATATGCAGCTCCCAGAGCAAGAAAGATTATGAGGATGAATGTCTGTAAACCCACTCATGTCGACGCTGAACTATATTGTAAGAAGGAGATACGTCTGGTTAGAACCTAGGCGCAGTGGTAATTCCGTTGTGAGGAGCGAAATAAAATCTTACCCTAGTCAAGGAAACGCATTCCACTGTGCGAAATGTAAACCATGGTTTTCTATTCCATAGCTTAAAATAGGCAAAGTGTAAAAATTGAAACAGTTGCCGATCTGTTTCAATGCTATTCAACTTATTCTGAACTAAGATCGTCTTGTTAATGCTCTCTTCAACACAAAATAACAGGTAGTCCGCAGAGAATGGACCTAACGTAGCTGACGGGTTCGTGGTTATACTCTGCGTGCTATTGGATGGTGTTGGATTATTGGTAGGTAGAATAGGCCCGGATATTGAGAGCATTTTCCGAAACGCTCCAGACAGTGAGCGGCCAAGTGATAGGATGGCCTGGATACTTTGGCTCATAGCTTGCTTCGTACTGATTGTACTTTCCTTCTGAAGCTTTTGTGCTTGTGAGTCGGTTGAGAGGGTGTCATTGTCAAAAACATCATCGAAAAGCTCAACCCCACAAGTCTGGTAGGCAACAAGTGTTAGTGTGGCTAAGGAGATCAAGGCATTCTTGCATCAACCAACTTACACATTTCCACCTGGTTCGCACCATGCCATCTGGAACTGGATACTTGTTGAAAATGCTTGGAAGGCGCTGGAGGGTATTTTCAACGAAAAGGGGTAGCGAAGAGTAGAATGAGGAGACTAGTAAGGCTATTGAGTAAATGCATGTGTGCGGATATAGAGCAGAGATAAAAGGAAAAGGAAACGCACGGCGTGGTTCATTTTGCAGAGAATCCGATTTTGCCTGATCAGCAGTCAGAGGCTGTTCATGTGTGTGTCGAGTTGCACCGGGGGGGGAGTCAAATGTTACTGATGTCGAGAGTATGTGACTGCCGCGTTTGAGATCAACGGCATTGCTGTGGCGAGCTGAAGCGTGTGATCGTTTTATTCCAGTGCTTTGCTTCTCAAATCGCCTCGATAACCTTTCCTTTTCTTGACAGAGATTCTTGAACTTCTTGCTTAGCACAGTGGCTGTAGTTCGTGATGCGGCATCTGGGTCAAGCATTTCATGCTCGATGAGATCTAGCATTTGCTGCAGATATGTCGTGGCATTATCATGTTCCTTTAGCCGGTGGATCCATTCTCTGACTGTAGGTTTCAGAAAAGCGCGATAGCGTTCATTTTCTCCTTTTTCGATACTGAAAAAAATGTCTACAGCGAAACCGTAGATATCATTTGTTATTCTTTCAGTGGCGAACTCGTCCTCAACCGCTTTAAACCCTAGAAGGTACCAGCAAATATATTCAAGGAAAACGCATCCCAGACTCCAGATGTCTGCAGCGGGGGTTATCAACCCATCAGGGAGGTCGAACTCAGGTGCTCGGTAGGTGTCTGTTCTTGCTAAGGTTCTGGGATCTTCTCCACACCGTGAGAATTTCGAGTAGAGTTTTGAGATTCCAAAATCTGCAAGAACGAGGTCGCGCTTGCCAATCGAGTTCTCAATGAGGAGGATGTTCTCTGGCTTGATATCTCCGTGCCTGCCATACACATACTTGAAATTAGACAGGTCAGGTTCCGGGCGGCTGTCCCGTCTATCAAATAACGATTTGCCATTATGAATGAGTTCCAGAGCGTCTGTGAGCCCACTCATCTGTTGTGCCATCCAGACTTCATGGTTGGTATCCAATCTAGATGCTTCGTGTGACTTCCAGAACTTGTTTAAATCCCCATCCGCCCAGTCGAAAAGAAGAAAATATCGTGACCGGCCTCCTTTTATATGTTGCTCAAAGGAGGCAAGCAGTCTATTCAAATGTTTCATTTCTCCGTCCAAGTGGGATAAATATAACGAAAATTCAAGTTCGGCTCTGAATGCCTCTCCTTGATCAAATTCGGAGGCTAGTTCTTTGAGGGCGAAGCGACGATTAAGTCGCTGTATTTGAAGATTCGGATGTTAAAAAGAGTGATCTTTGTATCTTTTAAGAAAGACTACTGTCACTTACACTGTCAAGCTCGTCGTTGTATTGTGAACTGGGGATTTGAACCTGGTAGACTTCGCTAAATCCTCCGTATTGGGCTGTATTTCTTTCGGTTCCACCCCAGGGAACTTTGCGAAGCTTCATCGGCAGGAAATGACCATGCTGTAAAATGTAATGGGAATGCACATCTTTGCGAATCTTGATATATGGTGCCGAAAGAATGCAATGCCAACCTATGAATAGTTCGAGATCCTCGGTCACGTAATTATCAAATGCGTGATGCCGGCCGTGAATGGAACATAACGGTGGCCAACTTGTCAATGATAGGCAATTGTCACACACTCCATCGCCGAGAAACTTGACAGCATCTTCAGTCCTATCAATCAATAGTAAGATGGCAAATATCTTTAATCTTGGCGCGCCTCTCTCGTCCCCAAAGCAAATATCCTGCGTCATAGCATGCTTGTCCTCAACTTCGCTACAGCACTTTAAAGTGTTGATAATTCGATAAACCTTTTCGGGTGTCAAAATCTCTTCGAATCTGTCTCGGGGAATGAAACCCGCGAGGAGGTTTGAAGAACACTCAATCCGGGCCTCTTTCAGTGCTGTTTGAATATCGCGAATCAGCGTATTAATTTGATTTCCTGTGCTCGGTAACGGAGGGCTGATGGCTTGCTTCCTCGGGGGGAAGTCGCAATAGAAGAGTTTCTCGCCATTATCCTTGATTATGTCCACATGCTTGGAAAGGTTGAATGCAATATCCGCCTGCGACGAAAATTCGTTGCCATAATAGGGCGGTGCCTGGGTAAGGGAGGCAGCACCCTTGGCCCTAATCGGGACTGAATCTTGTCGCAGACCTGGAGCATTAGCAGTGGTGGCACGCTTGATCCTGCCGATGGGACTTTGGACTGATGTTCTAACGAGCTCCGAGGTTAGACGTGATGGTCGTTGAACATCAAACATTATTGGCAGGAAGAAGCAACCAAAAGGCTGCTTTGTATGGAAAGATGGAAAGGAAGTATGGTTATTAGGAGGAATTGAAAGAAGACGAAAAATACAATGCGAGACGCGCCGGCATATTATATTCATTCCTGTAGCTTCTTTGGAAGGGGCATTCGCGTATTGTAGCTATCCTGTCTAAAAGAGTAAGGATTACTTATGTTTTCCCACAGTGTCCAAACGTTTGAAAGTATATGCTATATGGAATACCTCCTCAGTACTTCTTTTCAGCTGAGTAAGAAAAATGCATACATGCAGCCTACTTGAGGAGATTTCAGCCCTGGTTTGTGCCTTGGCAAAATGGTACCCAAGTGAGGAGTCAACCTGCAAAGCCACTGCGGCAGTGTCAAATGATCTGTATCAACTTATGATTCCACCTCATCGCGGAAAGAAAAATTGCATATCCATCAATTATTGTTTTTACTTCTTCGAACAAATTTTTCTGGGAAAGCAAGGCTAATTTGGGCAGAGCAGGATTCAGAGCGAACAATCCTGGGAATAAGGTGAAACTCAAATTATCTGTGCTCTTTCCCGATGTTTTGAGTATTTGGAGGCTAACCACGAGATCAAATAAGTTTATTCCAGAGTGACACGAGAGAGTTCGAGTATAAACTTAAACAGCAATGGAAGATGCCACAGCCCGACATCTCAACACAATGAATACGATACCAGAGTGACAAATTTTCGGAATATCACTGATGGCTTTTGGAAGCATACATACACGACCCAACGCACGAAAGATACGCTGTACCATCACTCGAGGAAATCCTGGATATGCTGTATATACTCTTTCCGCTGATCAACGTGTGAAAAATGTGCCGCATTGTCTAGTTTTACCCATTTCGAATTCTTGATATTGTCAGCGAATGGCTGCATTGTCACATCCTGTGCCTCATCATTTACGGCGTTTATCAATAGTGTTGGCACCTTAATATTGTGCAGCTCCGGGATTATTGTCCAATTTCGAAGCGAGCCAGTAATCGAAAGCTCGCTGGGCCCGTACCTAGATAATACTTTAGTCAATGCTCTTGCGAAAACGGGAGCGCATCTTACATTGTCCCATAGGTTGTGCCATCTGCTTCAAACCAGTCGAGTGCAGCCTTAACTTCGGGAGCTGGATATGGTCGCGCAAGGCTCAGATGGCGCTTGTAAAATACTTCAATAGCGGCGGCGTATTCAGGAGTTTCAAACTTCTGGCTCTTCTCCGCTTCGTCAAGCACAACCTGGACGTCTTCGGGGAGTTGCTTTCGTAATGATGTGATGCCAATACGCCAGGTATCCATGCTTGCAAGACTGTTCGAAATAATTAGACGTCGAAGATGAGAACTCGACTGTGTTACTGCCCATTCGGCTGCGAGCATGCCGCCCGTCCATAGACATCAATCGGGCGTGAATCCAGGCCAAGATGCTTGAGCAGGTTGTTTAGCTCATTCTTGAAAAGCTCCACGGACCAGAAGTCCTCATCACCATTCCTTTCAGGTAGATGAGTTGACTTTCCATTGCCAATCTGGTCATAAAAGACAAGTGGTACTGATAGATCCGTCAGAGGCAGGAGGTAGTCGTGACAGGCTCCAGGCCCCCCATGCAGGACAACTAATGGGGTTGATTTGGAATGCAAATCGCCGATGATCTTGTACCAGGTACGAGCAGGCTTGGCTAGGCCAGGAACATGAAAAAGAGCGATCCCCTCAGTCATTGTGTATGTGATAATGTGAGTTTTTTTGTTCGAAGAATACGAGATGGTGTAGGCGGGGTAAATGAAGAAAGTTAGCCGGTACAACGTCAATGTGTGCAAGGTTTAGGAGACAATGGGGAACCAACAGCAGTCGAGTCAACCATAGGCATGCACATATTACTACAAAGTTCCTCGCTTAATTGATCACATGATATGGTCTTCAAAACGACGAAAGATAACCAGTAAGGTTCTCTATGTCATAGCGGATCATGTAGCTGGTTACAAATGGTTATATCTGCCGCGTTGACATTCTATTCTAACATGAAAAACTTTTTAAGTAAGAGGATTCTGGAGGATTTCCAACCGAGGTTCCTAGAATGCTTCCAGTAACTAGTGATAAGGATCCTCAAAACGAAGGAGTGATGCTGAGCTTTATGTCACAATCTACCTTATATCAAATAGCGTGGAAACTATTCAAATACTAGAGAATTCATCATTCTTCACCCCGGTGGCATTCACGTGGGCATTTTATAGAGACAAAATTTTTAAGTTGTGGCTAGCCACCCTCGAGCTAACGCTGAACAGCATACAATCTAGCATCTTCTTGAGTTACGTACTCGCAAATGTGGTCAAGAGAGAGGCCTATGACCTTACTGGGAGCGTATGTATGAAGGAAATGCGGGACTAGGCTCGCTCGAAGTTGAAGTGGGTAAAATTTCGCTTAACACTTTGCAGGCTTAAGAAATTACGGAATTGAACTTCTCTTCAAGAGCCCACCATAGATGGCCAATATTCAAAGCATTTCCAGATCGACCGGACTTAGACTTGTCACCGGCCTGCAGGACGGGGAGACTCTGGCTAGCTTGCCGGCCCTGGCCCAAGCTGAATGAACACGCGGTAAGGCTTTGATTCAATCAATCGACTGCTCCCCTGTAAGATGACCAGAAACGGCGGGGATAAATCCGCGCCAAGATAGAATTCAGGTGAGACGCACTGAAAGATTCTAGGTCTTCTTATTTAGATAACAGCATGAATGGGTTCTCAGCTGGCTGTTCTCAATAAATCCATGCATGGCTGCTGATCATCGCCAGACTCTGTCTCAACATTTTTATGTGTTCCACTTCATGTAGCGCAACTGAGCTGAAACGCTTCCTTTTAGGACTGTTATTTGAAGTTCAGCTGTCGTAGGGTGAGGCATGTGCGATTTCTCAGGTGCCTACTGGACAATCACAAAATACATCGATCCGTTCCTCTGCATGGGTGATTCGAGCGCAAGAGAGCCCTTGACACAGGGCGTAAGGAAAAAAAAAGTATTAATACCCAGTGTCCTTGCTCGATATCTCTCTTGTTTTCCTTACCTCTCCAACAAACACTTTGGTTACAGATACTCAGCAAACCCGGACTTTGAGCCAATTCATACTGCCCTTCGTCTTGACATATCATTCACGTAAGATTTTCCACTAGGCATACACGCATAACTCGTACTGAATCAACGTAATCCAGCATGTCTTATTCGATTAAGTCCCGTGTCTATCAGACCAACACCAACGCCTACTTCAACATCGTGGAAAAGGGCGTCTGGCAAAATGGCACCTGGAGCGATCAGAATGGTGTCCTGACCCTGGCCATGGGCGGCAGCGGAACCTCGGGCATGCTCCGGTTCATGACAGAGCAGGGAAAGGAGATTTTCTTCATCGCCCTCGGTGTCCACAATTACAAGCCCTGGGTCGACATCGTGGAGGCCCCTTGGCTCAACGCCAGTTGTGTCAAGATTCTCCCCGAGTACTATGACAGCAAGTACCCTGTGCGCTGCGCTGCCCGCGATGCTCAGCGTACTTCGCAGTCCATTCATAGCGCCGAACATCGCACCATCTCCGTCGAATACAAGGCTGCTCAGGGTCACAACCTTGAGCTCAACATTGTTATCGGTTAAGGTGCAATGGAGGATATTCCAACTGGATAGAGATGCTAAGGGTTGATCAATTGCGAGGTATGGATATTCATTGGGGATGTTTCTATCATGTACCACTAGAAGTTGGGTAGAGAGCCACCTTCGGCCTTTCCTACGGCTCTCCTTCCGATTAAGCAAGGTAGCGAATAGTGTTACACCATTATACTGGGATTCCCCTATCGAAATTTATCTTCTAGCGGAAGCAACGTTTTGAAACTTCCAGTAAACAAAGTAAGACACCTGAACGTTGTCTATTCATCTAGTATTGTAGATTATAGTAGATTTCATAGTAGATTTTATAGTAGAGAGAAAACGCAAAAAAGCAATGCTCATTGGAGAAACGGGGATTTGAACCCCGGACCTTTTGTAGTGTATGTTTTTGATCATGCAAAACAAACGTGATGCCCCTACACCATTTCCCCATTGGGACGGCAGTCAACCCTTACTTTTGCTATATAGACCCAGTTCTATGTCTAGGCTCGTCCTCGTTTGCATACCTAGGTGCCTGCTCTTTGACTGAATAAGTGTTCGGAAATTGAGATACGTAATACGATCGATGAGGACAGTAATGCCCCGGTGTATTCATAGTTTCATCGCTTTCTGAATTAACTAACCGTGCGCCTCTTTCGCATAATCAAGAGAAATAGACAAGGTTCACGGGTCTAACCGTTGCGCGCGCGAAATATTATAACCATGGTATATATCCACAACCTTACCAAGGAGGATCATCTTCCCGACCCAATTGTGGCTCAAAAGGGTGACAAGTGTCAATTTAGCGGGTCAGGTACGCTTAAAGCTGGCAGCCCCGTGTTTCACAAGATGCCTCCAGGGCTGATGAATCCGGCTCCTAAACAAGTTTGTGGTAGATTATTCCGAGCGCCTGTCCGAGCAGAGGCATCAACCTGTGCCGGGCTTGTCGGGCGGCCCGTTGGCGTACGCGATGCCCGGAGAACATGACAGGTATAAAGTGCACTCGGGGCTCCTTATTCGCTTCTTTACGAGAGCCACTTATCAAAGACTATCTCGAACGCTATCCTATATACAATACCCAACTAAGTGCCCAAGATGCGCCTGTCTACCTTCATCCGTAGGTGGAAACTCCCATTGGCTATAAGAGTTCTTCGCTTCACATGGCTGACCCTCCTCCTAGCTCTGCTCGCCCTCGGAAGCTCAGCGGCTGGCACTGACTGCAAGCCCCGTAACCCCGATGGGTACGCTGCTAGCGATGAGTTGGCTGCCTGGATCGGAAAGGCTGTCGACGACTTCTACCCTTTCCGTGACACATGGGCTGCCGCCTACGACGCATCATTCGCACCCAATCTATCGGCGACATTCAACGCGACCAAATTCGACTTCAACACCCTGAGGGCAGCCTACGGTAGCTTCCTACCTAAGCTCCAAGGCCAATACGCTGGAACATTCGTAAGTTCCTCTATTGACGTTACCATAAGTTCTATGGCACTAATGGTTTACTAGGGCCACGGCTACTACTCTGTTGTCGCGGTACCCCATGCTAGCGACCGTGGTGGTTTCGTTTACATCACTGGCTGGGCTGGTGGCTACATCGACGGTGACGCAGACCGACTGTACAATGTATCGCACGCTGCCTTTGGTGTTGTTGAGCAACAAGAGGATTGCTCTATTAAGATTGCGGAGTGGCGCGAGAGCTCTAACATGGCCCCCTCTCCTTGAATAATTCATTCTGCGGCTATCTTCAGATGAGACCGGGTACTAAATGCCATAAGAGACAAGTCGTCCAATGGCGGCAGTGAGTGGTGTAAGCTGTCCAATCGAAGTAGTGGATGGTGTAAGCTGATGGTGTGAGAGGCGGAGTGGGACGCGGAGGTCGCCCAAAAAGTTATACGAGACCTTTAGCGTCATCAGCGGGAGATGGAGTTTTTATTATTTAAAGGTCTATTGATTCCATATCTTGCCTGGCTATTGAATTTGCAGATTGCCTTACTAGACAATTGATTCGTCCTTCTCCTATCTTCACTGTCTATAAACATGCATCTTATCTTAACTGGTGCCACTGGCCATGTTGGCTCTGGCGTTCTTGATGCCATGATGAAGATGAAAGACATTACAAGAATATCAGTGGTCAGCCGAAGGCCAGTCAAGTTCGCAGAGGACACCAAAGACCCCCGGGTCCATGTCATTATCAACAATAATTTTGAAAAATACGACCCTGAAATTATCAATCAGTTGAGGGGCGCCACAGGGTGTGTCTGGGCACTAGGAGTTAGCCAAACACAAGTCGGGAAGGAGTAAGTGATTATCGAAGGAGTGACAATACGACTCCATGGAAGGCTAACTTTGCACCAGGGAGTATGTTAGAATCACAAAAACCTTGGCTCTTGAGTCGGCAAAGGCATTCCAGGCCCTGCCGGCTAACAATGAACCATTCAACTTTGTTTATGTATCCGGGAACGGAGCGACCACTCAGCCAACCAGTCGTTCAGTCACCTTTGCCCGAGTGAAGGGAGAGACCGAGCTCGCTCTAGCGGAGATGCGAAAGCAGAACCCCTTGCTTCATGCCTTGTCTGTCCGCCCAGCCATCGTTGATTCTTCCGCTCACACTGAAATTCAACCATACGTCCCAGAACCTAGCTTTCCGATCAAGGCTGCAAGATTCGTCTTGTCTCCTATTGCCCGCGCTTGGTTCCCAAGTCACACGAGCCCAACTGAGCCGTTGGGCAGATTTTTGGCTGAGGCTGCCATGGGGAGACATCGGGAACAGTTCAAACCTGGCCCAGGAATCGAAATGATTGGAGATTTCCCTATCTTGGAGAACTCAGTGTTTAGAAAACTAGCTGGTCTCTAAAAAGATATCAATCGACCTGAACTCGTATCAACACCTACTAAAATCCTAGATTATGTTTTGCAAGCATCTCCACTAAGTGTCAACAGTAATATAATTTAACTCGTGCCAAATAAAGATGATCAAACCGTGAGAATGTTTATTCCGAATATTTCGGGTGAAAAGTTTTCCTGGTGCACCATGTCCGTGCAGAAGGATCATAGACTGCGGTATCGCTCCAAATAGGCGTGCTGATGTGGGCTAGCAGCAACGAAGCCTGGGTTTTAGCAAGCGGATCCACCGGAGGAGATTTTCCTCACTGGCCAATCTTGACTTCGACACAATCTCGTTGCCAAGAATCCAACCCAACTCTCTGGGAGCAGGCCTCTTAAAAATGTCAAAGGGAGATCTCACTGGTATCCCGCCATGTCCGAGTCGCAACTATATACCCTGAAGAGGTCACCGGATGGTGGCCACGGCTTATTTGCTAGGGTGGCCATCAAGGCAGGCACTCGCATCATCCAAGAACAGCCCGTCCTGATGCTCTCGAAGGAAGAAGTTCAAACACAATCTGAAGAAAAATGGGTCATCGCAAAAATGGGCCAGTTGCCTGTTGAGGCTCAGAACGAGATCATGGAGTTATATCACAACCCGAAGAAATTACAAGACTTCAAGTCTCACCACAACCAGAAATGTCCCGGCACCGACTGGGATGCTAGTCTTGTGCTGGCCAAATTCTACACGAATGCTGCTTCAATATCTGGTGGACTGAAAGTTGGGCTGTTCACTACGTTTTGCCGCATGAACCACTCATGCATGCCGAACACGTGCTGGGTGTACGACGAAGTGACCGGAATGGAAGTATATGCGGTGAGAGATATCAGCGAGGGAGAGGAAATCACGGACTCGTACACCGAAGTCGCGTGTTCTAGAGAAAGCAGGGCAAGAGAACTAGCAAATTGGGGATTCCGTTGCGAATGTACGGCATGCGAAGGTCCAGAGGCCGAAGTGATTGATATCAGGCGGCGAAGGGTAGCGCAAATCAGAGAGCTCTTGGAGCTCTACAGCCGTAAAGATGAGAAGCCTATGTTTTCAGAAGTACCGAAGACGGATTTAGAAGCTTTAAACCTCGCAGAGGAAAGTGTCTCGTTGTTGTCGTTGGAAAATCTAGTTGAGGAGTTGGGTGCTGCCCACGGATGGTGTGCCAAGTTTGCTCGAAGAGCCGGGCTGAAGGATGTCAAGGAGTTTCATGAAGACAAAGAGTACCAAATTTTGGTGCTTACTACGGGAGACACTGAATAGAGCGATTTCTTTGATTTAACCCGAGGAGGACACATCACAACCATGCCAGACAGGGAATGCCTAGATAGATAGCCATGCAACTAGTAATGATTTCACCATCCCAATTTAAGATTCGTTTTCCAAGGATTCTAGCTTTTTTTAATCTGCCCCTCTACATAGAGTCTTCCATGAAGTGTAACTCGCGATATACTTTAGTCTCTGCGTCGGTGAACCACCCATGGTTAGTTGAAACCCCGTCCACACCGACCTCCCATACTCCATCAATAACATAGCCAGCCCAAACCTCGAATATTTCTGCGAACCGCGGCGCCCTACCGATGCCCCATGGCCTTTGAACGTTATGAACCATATCTCTATCAGTTGCCTGGGCTGTCACAAGCTGAATAGTATCCGCGAACTTGTCGTCAACCGCCGTGTAGAGTCCGGGAAGGAGCGAAATTGTGAGTCTCTCCAAATGCCTCTCTCGAATGTTGAAAGGAGTTTGAAGCCTCACTGATTCGTCGGCAAGTGGAAGAATGAGCGAAGGGTAGAGGTCCGGCTCGTCGGGAAATCTCTTGATGAACTGACTTCGTTCCGAGTTGGGAAGCTCTGAGTTCATAACAGCTTCAAATCTTTCATCTGTAAAGACTGTAATGCCCGGCCCAACGAAAGTGAAACTTGGCCGTTTGGCTCGTTGAAGAAAGGCCTTAGCGAAGGGGCTTATTCGAAATTGGTTTACCATACTGGTTGGCAGAGGATCGCGATAGTTGTCTTCACCCGGATCACCAAGGCGGGTTTGGATAGCCTCCAGTAAGCCCTCCCAAGCGGAAAGGGTTTCTTCCAGATCTCTAGGTGTAAATCCCCGTATCAATATTGAACTTCTACTATCGTCCATCCAATAGTATTTTCCACGATCCCACATCTCCAATAACTTCAGAAGCGCAAACTCAAGTGGTACCCATGACTCGGAATCGCTCGCAGGAAGGCCGCTGTATTCCAAATTACCATAAGTCACCCGTTTAGTGAATAGGTCGAGAAATAAACCGGCATCCTGCTGGATATCAAATGCGGTAGGGTAGAGTAATATAATATCTGGGTCGTTCATCTCTCCGTATGTTCGATTCCAGAATGCTACTGCATCAGGCTGTCTAAACTCCCCTGTGAATGGCGCGTGCCGTGGATCATAAACATTCAACTGGGAGAAGAAACGAACAATATCGTCCTTCTGCAATGCATCCGTATCCGCCCACCCTGGGGGATTCCCAAGAGCTATCTGGATGCAGTTCTGTTGCATGTTCTCGGCGGCGTCAGGAATGTGACCGACTGCCCTCGCAAGGAGCTCATTGTGTAGGAGAGCGCATCGGTCCGGATCAAACTCGGCATTGACCTCTTGCTCTGGGGGGTTGTCGTCCATCGCCATGGCTTGAAATATCTAATAGAACACAGTTTGGATCCGATAGTAGCCGAAAAGAAATAGACGTTGAGTGATTTTGAGAGCCTGCGGTACCAGAAGAATTCACGGTACAGAGAAGGGGCGAGGTGCCGATGATTAGGACCTTTTAAACCGGAACGTGTAAAGCGAAAACAGAGAAGAAGGATAGAGTGATTTCCCTTTCCAAAAGCCTCTCTGTTGCCAATATACGGATTTCTGCTTTTGGACTGAGGACATGTGTAAGGTGAATAGAAAGGGCGGCAATAAGTCTTGAGTTTTGTTTTATTAGGTCGTTACTTTACGAGCGTTAGTTAGCCTTGGCATGCCAATTGTTTTTACCTAATAAAGAAGTAACTACGAGTTGATTATATCAGCAGAGCTCGGTGGCGTTTGAATCACGACATGTACACATGGGGAGAATAATACCTAGAAATATACAATGAGATCTCCCCAACTTCTCATAGACGCCTTTTTCTCATGTCGCCATGCCAATTTTATCTCCTTTCAGATAACCGCCTTGTACAGCGCTACAGGTTCTTGAAACACTTAACTCACTAAGTGAAGGCATTGCACTGGTGAAAAATGTTAGATCTCTGGTTGAATATTTACGATGTATAGTCCTATTGGCTTTTTCCTTTATTATGGTTAATATTTAGAGGCCTCGCGACAACATTGTCAAGGGAAGGATATTGCAAACCTTTACAAACACGTCCAATATATTCCATTAGGTTATCTAGCACCAACAACCTCTCTTGGACCGTTGGAAACGCACTTACACTCGTATTCAAAGGCTTTTCTCCCCGTTAGCTCTGAGGCAAAAAGTCAGCAACAGCTACTTCAGGCATGTTTTGATGCTTGAGGTTGCTTCGGGAATCACGTGTAGGTACTATAACCCTACGTGGTCTAGGTTAGCTTAGTAAACAGCGTACATCCCCCCGGTAGGTAAACCAAGAAAAAAAACTCATCCACCAGCCACTCCACTTGATACCTTATGTCATATAATAACTTGCCTGGCGTGCGAATGGCCCCAATCATCTTGCCAAATAATATGATCAGGGAGAGTAATGTTGCTAAGCAGGGCTTCAATGGGCAAGTGCCTGTAAAGAAACCTAAGACGAGAAAATATGCCCCCAAAGTCCGCACAGGCTGCATCACTTGGTAAGTTGCCAAGCCGGTGATTATCTCAGAACCAGGCTCACCGGTGACCGACGTGCTTATGGGAGATCGTCAACTAACAGGCTCACAGCAAGTAAGACTTCATCTCCACCTCTGTTATTAGTGGGGCTGTTCAAGATGCTCAGTATAATGAGTCCTTCTTGAGCTAACGAAGAAATAATTTAGATTTCGCCGGAAGAAGTGCGATGAGGAGAAGCCTTTCTGTCGTCGCTGTACAGAAGGCGGCTGGAAATGTGACGGCTACTCTCCTATAGCCAAAGAACCTACTTCCAAGAAAAAAAAGAACAGTCCTGCCGCTTCGACCGAGCCTAATGTTACACTGAGCCAGCAGTTAACAGCATTGACGTTGATCAGTGGACAACATGCGGGAATTCCATTACTACCAAGACTCCCGCTAACGAAAAATGTCCTTGAGCAGCGTTGTCTTAGCCACTTTTTCACCTACACTCTCAATGAAATTGACCTGTCACCTGGGATTAACGGATTCTGGCTCAAAACGCTGCCAGCCCTGAGTCAAAATGAGCCGCTGGTTCGGCATGCCGTGACTGCATTGGGTGCCACCCACTGCCTCTTCCTCAGTCATGACTCCTCAAGGATCAACCATGAAGCTAAATACCAGGCGGTTGTTACTCAGCAATTCACGAGCTCCATCTCACGATTGGTACCTCTCATGTCTCAGGCAAAGCCTGAGAATACTATCCTGGTCTTGATATGCTGCCTGCTATTTGTATTCATCGAGTCTATGAGAGGCTCTCAGACCGAAGCCTTGCGACACCTTACAGCCGGATGCCGACTCCTCGCATCTGTTCGCGACCTCCCACCGGAACTAGAAGGGAAACTGCGCGAAATCGCAACAGTATTCCGGGGACTCGGGTCCGTCGTCAACATGTTTAACGAAGACAAGATAATTCCGGATCTCGCGTCATATGCGGAACTTCCAAAAGGGTACGAAGATCCCACGAAGCCCTATGAGAGTATCGATGAGGCAGAGAAAGCCTTGGCTCATCTTGATATGTTTCTCTCGGATATGCACTGCACCCACGACAACTCTGAAGGACCGTTCCCGGAGCGACTAAAGGAGATCAACGAGCAGACGTTTCGGAGCCTTGGAAGGCGCTTCCGAAAATGGGAAGCCCGCTTCGAGAGAACTCTCGAAAGTCTTAGGCCGCCTCATAGCTATGAACTCCTCAACCTGAAGCTTCAGAGGTACCTCTGGGCTCAAATGATGAAACAGCCATATGGCGAAGAGCCGGTTATTGGCGAAGAGAAATGTATGTGGCTAATGGATAAGGTGGAGGAATTGCTCGAAATGACGAACCCAACGCAAAGAATCTTCACAACCAAGGCGGATTTGATCCCGGTACTAGTCGTGGTATACGGATCATGTCCGGTTACCCAAGTACGGAAACGAGCGATAGCGCTATTACAGTTACGTAGCCGAAGGGAAGGGTTTTGGGATAGTGACAAGACAGCTGACTTCCTGCAGTTGGATCTTGATAAATGCTTGGCAGGTCAGAAGGGCACATCGTGGCCGGCTGTCGGCCCTTCTACTGCCCAAGGGGCACTTCTGGTTTTCAGGCCGAAACCAGAAGCATAAACTATAGAGCCTTGGAGGAAACCCAGTATATGCACTATGGCTGAGGGGATATAGAGCTAATGATAATGTTAAACAACGCAACGTATTGTCATATCTGTCATACACTGCCCTCCCAGCTGTTTCCCTCTAACTGACAACGATATGAATATTGCTTCTCTATAGGTAGAGAAGGTGTATACGCGATAGACACGGACTATTTGCCTGCTGTTGTCCCTATTCCTTGACCGTCGTATATATGTACGAAAGCGGGAGTACAATCGCTGCGAGGCCAACCGCCCAGGGAGCAAGCTTCTTAGCTGCTCGAAGGTATACCATGTGTTCTCCTTCTTTGTGCCTCTTGTTTCTATCAGCCCTATCATTCAGACGCGGGAATGGCACATCCGGGATGTCTTTCCCCAGAAACGCGCACAGCGGCTCCCATCCGTCGCCGATAGAGTACTCCAACCTTCGCTCGGGCGGAATCATGTCCCGAATCTTTTTGTAGTACTGGTCATACCCGCGTCGTGCATTCGCCTCAATCTCGGACATGTTTCTGGCGTCAAAAAGCCCGTAGCTGACTTTCGTCAAAGCGTGGGCGGATCTTGATCTCAAGACATGGCTCACGAGAAACAGCATGACGGTCTGCCCGATTGTGAAGAGCTTGTCCAACACAACGACTTTGTAGCTTATCCACCAGCTATCAAAATCCCGCTGAACAATGACGATTTTGGCATTGGGATATGCCTCGATGAGCTGATCGACAAATGGACAGGCCATGTCGGTGACGATATCATATTTGGATCCCCAGAGCTCATCCCAATCTTTGCGAGTGAACCTTGGTTGGGGTCTGGCGCCTGGGATCGACGGCCAGGTTGCTTCTGCTGCTCGCTCGATGGATTCCCACGGGTTTCCGAGGATGTCCTCATCGCCATGATGCGTCTTGTAGCCCAGGATTCTATACGCATGCGCCATAGATTTCGTTGCCATCCGAAACAAGGCGACGTGAATAACGGCTAGGCCATCGTCTGAGGTTTTTTCGGCCGGGTTCATGGTGGGAAGAGTTGCAATTGGTGCTCCTGATTTCGCGTCAATGAAAAATCTGTCAAGGTTGAAACACGTGAAGCCATATTGGACAGATCTTGATGGACATGGGGTCTTGGGGGTTTATTTTTTTCCGGCGACATGCTGTTTGGTTACACCGACACTTGAATATTGCTCCCTTTTTGGGCGAGCACCTACCGTCCTCCATTGCTTCCTGATTGCGACACGGCGTTGCGATACACTGCGATGGGACGCAAGTAGTTCAATTGCTTATATGCTACATAGTAGGTTAAAGCGCATGTAGTCGCCGCCAGTATGTTGGGAGCTATTCAACCACTTGAGGATGGTGTTCAGGAAAAGGTGCCAGATGTGCCCCGACTGTCCCGGTCCGGATTGCTGCAATTCCACGATGACGATTGGAATCATTTTGGCTACAGTGGTGGGCAGCGCGTGACCGGAACCTGCGAATGCCCCTATCTGGGCCTGCGGGCCCGACTCCAGGGGCTGGCCTCCCTGAGAAGCGGCGGTTGATCCACCAGACTCAGTGACAGCGGCGCTGTTTTTTTTTTTTTTAGTGTTGTTCCACGTTCCGTCTGCACTATTCACCGAGTCACAGCCAAATGTCACCGAGTCAAGGAACGAAAACAAACTGCATGGCTGGGCGGGCGCACGCCTCCACGAAACTATGCGGCAGTCAGATCTGCAGAATTTGCCCCTCGCTTCGATCTCGGCCATCCATTGAAGAGATGGATGTTATCGGGTCGCTTCCGGATAAGCTCCGTTGCTCGGGGCCGCCAGAGAAGCCACGCACACCCGGCAAGCTCAACTAGACAGCTCCTCCCGACCACAATCACACCGCACTCCAATCAAACTTTACACTTCTTTCCTTTTCTTCCTTTGTTTATTCTCTTCTCCAATATCAGCCTTCGACTGCATACACGTCTAGTCTGTCATCTACCACATCAACGCAGCCATGTCTCGATCACGCACAGTTGGTCTCACAGGCAGACGCCTGCAACAGGCCTTTTCGCCTGCTCATAAATATCAGTGGTCGCGATCAGTCGCGTCGCTCTCATCAGCAGACAAGACTGTAGGCAATTCTGTACACATGAAATATCTGGAAAAATTATTCGCTAATATGTTTTTCAACAGCTTCTGGGCGGCTCTCTCCTGGAGAATGACCCCGAGCTTCATGCCATTCTCAAGCGTGTAAGTGCAAACCATCATGGGCAATCAAGTACAGCGCTGACTCCCAGTACAGGAGGAGAAGAGGCAGCAGCACTTTATCAACCTCATTCCCTCTGAGAACTTCACATCCAAGTCTGTGCTCGAGGCTCTGGGCAGTGTCATGCAGAACAAGTACTCTGAGGGATACCCCGGGGCTAGATACTACGGAGGTAACGAGCACATCGACGAGGCCGAGAGACTGTGCCAGAAACGTGCTTTGGAAGCTTTCCGCCTCGAGTCTGATCGATGGGGCGTGAATGTCCAAGGTCAGTTCACTCTCTGTATCTTTGCTGTGAGGCACAACTGTTAACACGCAAGATAGCCCTGTCCGGATCACCCGCCAACCTCTACGCCTATTCGGCTCTCCTCAACACCCATGAACGCATCATGGGTCTTGATCTCCCCCAAGGCGGCCATCTGTCCCACGGCTACCAGCTCCCTACGAAGAAAATCTCCATGGTTTCCAAGTACTTTGAGACCTTGCCATACGTCCTAGACGAGAAGACCGGCCTTATTGACTACGAGAAGCTGCGCCAGAATGCTCTTCTCTACCGTCCCAAGATCATCATCGCCGGTACCTCCGCCTACTCGCGCCTCATCGACTACGCCCGTATGCGCGCAATCGCAGACGAGGTCGGCGCCTACCTCCTCGCCGACATGGCCCACATCTCCGGCCTCGTCGCTGCCGGTGTCCTCCCCTCTCCCTTCGAGTACGCCGACATCGTCACCACCACCACCCACAAGACCCTGCGCGGCCCCCGCGGCGCCATGATCTTCTTCCGCAAGGGCGTCCGCTCCGTCAAGAAGAACGGCGATGAGGTCAAGTACGACCTCGAGGGCCCCATCAACGCCTCCGTCTTCCCCGGCCACCAGGGCGGACCCCACAACCACACCATCACCGCCCTGGCCACCGCCCTCCGCCAGGCCAAGTCGCCCGAGTTCGCCGAGTACCAGAAGCAGGTGCTCGTCAACTCCAAGGCCTTCGCCGCCCAGCTCTCCGACGCCCTCGGCTACACGCTCGTCTCGGGCGGCACCGACAACCACCTCGTCCTCGTGGACCTCAAGCCCAAGGGCGTCGACGGCGCCCGCGTCGAGCGCGTGCTCGAGCTCTGCGGCATCGCCTGCAACAAGAACACGGTGCCCGGCGACAAGTCGGCCCTCAAGCCCGGCGGCCTGCGCCTGGGCACACCGGCCATGACCACCCGCGGCTTCACCACCACCGACTTTGAGCGCGTCGCCGACATCATCCACCGCGGCATCGGCATCACCCTCGCCGTCGACAAGGAGGCCAAGGCCGAGGCCCAGGCCAAGGGCGTCAAGAACCCCGCCACGGTCAAGGCCTTCCTGAACCATCTCGGCGACGGCAAGCAGGTTGAGGAGATCCAGACTCTGCGGAAGGAGGTTGAGGAGTGGGTTGGGCAGTTTGACCAACCCTGGGTTCTGTAGGGGAATGATATCACACAGTTTATGATTTTGTTTATAGCCATATTTGATCAATTTTCTTTTGGACATGGAAAAAGGAAAACTTAATTTCAGCGTTTATTCTACACATTTACCTTGATCTTACCATTGCCAAGTGATGAGGAATTGAGTATCTTGACTATGTCTACTCATTATGTTGCCGCAAAACACATGCGATTCTCCCGCTGCGACTTTGCCTCCCAAATTGCATTGACCTTCCCTGTAGCTACTGAAAGCAAGTGATCACGAATGCGTCCGATTACCGGCCTCCGATGACAAAAAATCGGCAGATTAGACTCGAGCTTAGCCTAGGTTACGGCGTGCCGCGCAGTCGAGATAACGGACCGGGGGAAAAGACCTTTTGCCTGCCATCGTCACTGAGTCCAGCTTCACTGAGTCCCTTCACTGAGTCCAGCCCAGAATCCGCTCCGGCCCAGCCTCATGCATCAGGGGAACCACAAAATCACCGAGTCTGTGGGGAGAGTCGCATCCTCCATCCAAGTGGGTCGGCCCATCACCGAGTCAAAGAAACAAGCCCATTCCAGCCCACCAGCCCGCCGGTTTTCGATCCGAGCTCGAGATAAGGAAGCTTTCCTTAGCTGGCTCGAGAGCAGTCCAGGTACCGCTGCGATTGTCGGGGGGCAGTTAAGCTCGCCTGTCCAGCTGTTTCCTGCCTTGCTCCCAATTTTCCCTTCCTCAGCAGTTTGCCAGTAATAAACCCGCTATTTGCTATCACTCGCTCTCTTACACACGTCCCATATCCCGCATATCCCTTCCCTCATATTCACAATGGCCACTCTCTTCACACGCCAGGCTGTTGCCTCTGCCTCGAGAACGGCACGATGCTGGAGACCGGCAGCTGTCAAGGTTGCTCCCGTCAGCAGGGCCATGCCCATCTCACAGCGCATGAGCTTCTCGCAATCAGTACAACGTAAGACACAGAGAAACTTGAACTTCATCATGAACAATAAATACTAAACATCACCACGTTAGGCCTTGAGAAGCGCTTCACTGAAACCCACGAATGGATCGACGTCGCCAGCGACGGCAAGACCTGTGAGTACCCTCAAAACCGACTTATCCCGACCAATTGAGCTAACTGAAACACCAAAGGCACAATCGGCATCACCAAGCACGCCGCTGAGGCCCTCGGCGACATCGTCTACGTCGAGCTCCCAGAGGTGGGCGACGAGGTGGGCAGCGGCGACAGCTTCGGCTCCGTCGAGTCGGTCAAGTCGGCCTCTGACATCGTCTCCCCCATCGACGGCAGCGTCGTCGCCGTCAACGACCCCGTGTCCGAGACGCCTGCCGACCTCGGCAAGGACCCCGAGGGCGAGCAGTGGCTCATCAAGGTCGAGGCGGCCGACCTGGCCCCCGTGGATGGGCTGATGGACCTGGAGGCGTACACCAAGTTCGCCGAGGAGGATCACTAGGAATTGATGTTGTGTTTGTTGTTCAAAATTGAAAGATTTTTAATTGTTCATATAAAGCCGTAAAGTCTATTGATAAAAAAAATATCATTTTAAAAAAATAGTATAAACTCCTTCCTCTATTCGCCTTGTGATATGTTGAATCCCAATGCATCGCTATCGTAGACCTCGTTGAATAAAGACTACCTTGCATTTTTCACCATTTTGCAGCCCAGTAAGGTCTTCACTTCTAAAAATTAATCCCAAATAATTTAAAAAAAAAAAAACACTGATCATGTAATCAAAAAATCAAATCGCTCTTTCTTTCTCTATCTAAATTATTACTCGGCAAGCTCCTCCACAGACGGGCACGTACAGTAGAGGTTCGTGTCACCGTACGCATCGTCCACCCGCGCCACCGACGGCCACATCTTCTTGGCCCGCAGGTACGGCAGCGGGTACGCCGCCTCCTCGCGCGTGTACGGCCTGTCCCACTCGGCCGCGAGCAGGTCCTGCTGCGGGTGCGGCGCGTTCTTGAGCAGGTTGCCCACCTTGGGCACCTTGCCGGACTCGACGTCGGCGATCTCGCGGCGGATCTGGATGAGGGCGTCGCAGAAGCGGTCGAGCTCCTCGCGGGACTCGGACTCGGTGGGCTCGATCATGAGGGTGCCCGAGACGGGGAAGCTCATGGTGGGCGCGTGGAAGCCGTAGTCCTGGAGGCGCTTGGCCACGTCGGCGGCCTCGACTCCCGCCGTCTCCTTGAAGGGGCGGATGTCGAGGATGAACTCGTGCGCGCAGCGGCCGTTGTCGTTGGTGTAGACGACGCTGTAGTGGGGGAGGAGGCGGGACATGATGTAGTTTGCGTTGAGGAGGGCGACGCCCGTCTGGCGGGTGAGCCCCTGGCCGCCCATCATGAGGATGTAGGCGTGGCTGATGGGCAGGATGGACGCGCTGCCCCAGGGAGCGGCGCTGATGGGCGCGATGGCGGTCGACTCGCGCGCCTTGCCGCCGTTCTGGGGGTCGGCCTCCGGGTGGCCGGGGAGGAAGGGGGCGAGGTGGCTGCGGACGCCGATGGGACCTACTCCAGGGCCGCCGCCGCCGTGGGGGATGCAGAAGGTCTTGTGGAGGTTGAGGTGGCAGACGTCGGCGCCGATGTCGCCGGGGCTGCAGAGGCCGATCTGGGCGTTCATGTTGGCGCCGTCCATGTAGACCTGGCCGCCGTACTCGTGGACGATGCGGCAGACCTCCTTGACCTCGGGCTCGAAGACGCCAAAGGTGCTGGGGTACGTGACCATGACGGCGGCGATGTCCTTGGCGTGCTTCTCGCACTTGGCCTTGAGGTCGGCGATGTCGAGGTTGCCCGTCTTGGCGTCGCACTTGATGGCGACGACCTTCATGCCGACCATGGCGGCGCTGGCGGGGTTGGTGCCGTGGGCGGAGACGGGGATGAGGCAAATGTTTCGGTTCGCCTCGCCGCGGCTCTCATGGTAGGCTTTGATGGTGCGGAGACCGGCGAATTCACCCTGGGCGCCGGAATTGGGCTGCAGGCTGACCTCGTCGAAGCCGGTGATGGTCGACAGGTTCTTCTGGAGGGAGGCAAGCATGGCCTGGTAGCCAGGAGCCTGCTCGACAGGGGCGAAGGGGTGGATGTTGGAGAATCCGGGGTGGGAGACGGGAAGCATTTCGGTGGTGGCGTTGAGCTTCATTGTGCAGGAGCCGAGAGGGATCATGGAGTGGACGAGGGAGAGATCCTTGTTACCAAGGTGGTAGATATATCGCAGAAGCTTGGTCTCAGAGTGGTGCTGGTTGAATACGGGGTTCTGGAGGAAGGCGGTCTTGCGCTGGAGGTTGGCGGGGATGGACGAGTTGGAATAGAGAGCACTGTCCAGACCCTTCTCAACGGCGGCATTGAAATCCTGCTCAGCCACGTTGAAGCACTTGAGAAGCTTGCCCAGGCTCTCCAGAGAGACACCCTCGTGAAGAGAGAATCCCAGCTCGGTCTCACTGATCTTGCGCAGGTTGATGTTGAGGAGAGAGGCCTTCTCGTGTGCGTTAATGACGGCATCTGAAGATCCCTTGAGGGTCAAGGTGTCGAAGAGGACGGAGCCATCGTCTCGGAGACCGGTGGTGGAGAGCTTGAAGTCGCCCTGGCGTGTGATAAGATCCTGTGCCAGGCGGGTCTTGGCCCAAACATCCTGGGCAATGGCCTTGAGACCTTCGGGGCCGTGGTAGATGGCGTAGAAGGCGCTCATGTTGGCCAACAGAGCCTGGGCGGTGCAGATGTTGCTGGTGGCCTTCTCACGGCGAATGTGCTGCTCGCGAGTCTGCAGAGCAAGGCGAAGGGCTGGGTTGCCCAGTCGATCCTTGGAAACACCGACAATACGTCCGGGAATCTTGCGCTTGTACTTCTCGGAGCAGGCGAAGAATCCAGCGTGGGGGCCTCCGTATCCTAGGGGAACACCAAATCGCTGGGAGCTGCCGAGGGCAATATCGGCGCCGAACTCGCCGGGCGCCTTGAGCTGAGTGAGGGCCAGGAGATCCGTGGCGACGCAAACGAGACCCTTGCCCTCGTGGACGAGGTCAGAGAGGCCTTGGTAGTCGAAAACACCACCGCGGGTGTCGGGGTACTGGAGAAGAACACCGACGAGGCTCTTGCCGGCCTTCTTCACGAGTTCGTACTCGTTGGCGAGGACGTCACCGACGACGAGCTCAATGCCGAATCCCTCCGCTCGGGACTTGAGAACCTCGAGAGTCTGGGGGTGGCAGTTCTCAGAAACGACGAAGGTCTTGCCTCCGCTCTTGGGGGCGTTGGCAAAAGCCATGGTCATGGCCTCGGCAGCGGCAGTGGCCTCATCAAGGACGGAGGCGTTGGCGATCTCGAGGCCGGTCAGGTCAGCGACCATGGTCTGGAAGTTGAGCAGGGACTCCAGACGGCCCTGGCTGATCTCGGCCTGGTAGGGAGTGTAGCTGGTGTACCACGCTGGGTTCTCGAGGATGTTGCGCTGGATGACGGCGGGGACTTGGGTACCGTAGTAGCCAGCTCCAATGTAGGTCTCGGCGACGGTGTTGAGGTCGCCAAGCTTCTTCATCTGCTCCCTCACGAACTGCTCAGAGCGCCCGTTTGCAGGCACGGGAGTAAGGGGGTCCTCGGCCTTCCACTGCTCCACCAAATCCAGGCCAGTAGATTTCCTCCGGACCTGCTCTGGGATGGTCTGGCTGATGAACTCCTCCATGGAGGCGGCGGGAGGAACGAGCGCCTTGAGCATCTCCTGGTGCTCGTCTGCCTCGTCGCCGAGATGCCTTCGGGGGAAGGACTCATGTTGTTGAAGCTTGGCAAAGGCCTCTGTTTCAGTGAAGCTCTTTACCTGGCCCAGGCGGTATCCCTGTGTGGCGAACCCGCTACGAAGACGGGGGCTCTGGTGGGCAGCATAGCACAGAACATCCCGAGAGGCAATGCGAGGGGCCTTCCCGGGAAGTCGCTGCAACAGCTGTCGTCGAGCGGTGCTGGACAGCATTGTGACTTGGGACGAGATGTCCTGTGGGGTGGTTCTCTAGGGGTGATAACAGGTGAAGAAGTCGAGTGAAGAAGTTCACAAGACAAGGGTTACTATCTTTCCCACCCTTGAAAAGATAGATGACGCGATGGAAAACTACAAGTCAGACAATGATGTGTTCTGGAAAAGAAACTTTGGAATCAGGAGAGATGGATGATGGGTAGATGATAAGCGCCATGCAAGTGCACTGCAGGCTGCTTGTTATCTCGCCCCCTGTTCTGGAACACTACAGCAAGGGACCCTCATTATTTTTTTCCATCCGGTCGCTTCGACATCGGCACAGGCTAGAAAATTGCCTTGGGAAAGGCTATTGGCCGATCCTTGCCGGCAAACCCCGGCCGTGCCTCATGTCGGCGTGGCTCCGTGGTGGGGCGATGACTCGGTGAAATCCTCCTCTGACTCGGTGCTGAGCCGCTACGCACCGCTTTGTATCAATCTCGAGGCCATTGTCGGGAGCTGGGGATCCGGGGAGACCAGGGGACGACACACACCTCTCGTCTGAGATGGAGGGCGACGAGATTGCGTTGTACCTCTATGGACAGTATCACAGCGTCCCGCGCGGCATCACCATGCCCCTTTCGGTGATTTTTACGCAACGATATCTCACTCGACGTCGTCTCGTGATCGATGAGAGAATGTATTGAGTTAGCGTAGTCGCCCTGTTTATTGTGTAGTTGCAACATGGAAATATAATAAATACCGTCCAGGAGTAAAGCTCGGGCGGTCTTCCGGCTTGCAAGTAGACTGGAACTTGGAGTTCTTCAAGCTTGTGACCAACATCTGAAGTTTCCCTCCAACTGTTCTACGTTCTAAAATTTACAAAGCCACCTTCACTTCACCCCAATATGACAATCTCTCGCCGCCAGCCATGGGTCGCAACTCCCTTGATTGAGTCTCCCCAGCTCTCAAAGAGTGCAGGATGGTATGTGTCCCCAGGACCTGGCCACCATGATATCAATCTATCTTGGGGGTTCACGATGCAAAGATACATGTTCTAAATCGTAGAAGTAGAATCTTTCTTAAGCTAGACAACCTCCAACCCTCCGGCTCTTTCAAGTCTCGAGGCATCGGCAACTATCTCCTCAGCCGCATCCGAGAGCACGATGTCACTGATGGAAAGAAGCCGCACTTCTACGCCTCGTCCGGAGGCAACGCCGGCATAGCATGTGTTGTTGCCGCCCAGTCTCTTGGGTACGAGGCCTCCGTCGTGATACCCACCACGGCCAGCCCAGCTCTCATTGCCAGGCTGGAAGAGGAGGGTGCCAGTAGCATCATCCAGCACGGGCATAGTGTCATGGATGCAGACCGGTACCTCAAGTCCACCGTCCTGCCCGCCGATCCAGACGGCGTATATGTGCCACCCTTTGATCACCCTGACATCTGGGCCGGCAATTCCACCGTGATGCAAGAGATTGCCGCGCAGCTGAGCGACGAGCAGCCCGATATCGTGGTCTGCAGCGTCGGCGGTGGCGGACTCATGAATGGCGTCGTGCAGAGTCTTGACCAGCTCGGTTGGAGCGAGGGCACCACGGTACTGGCCATGGAAACGGCCGGGGCCGACTCGCTCAACCAGGCCCTCGAGGCGCGGCAGCTGGTGACTCTGGAGAAGATCACGTCACAGGCGCGCAGCCTCGGTGTCGCGACAGTGTCGCAGAAGACGTTTGACTACGCCCAGCGTGATCAGGTGGTCAGCGGCGTCTTGAGCGATGCCGAGGCGGCCAAGGGCTGCTGGATGCTGGCTAAGTATGAGCGCCTCCTGGTTGAGCTCACGGCCGGCATTGCGGTCAGGCTCTGCGAGGACAATCTCTTGGAGAAGTTTACTGGCAAGAGACTGGACAGGGACTCGAAGGTCGTGCTGCTGGTCTGTGGCGGCAACGACATCTCGGTCGAGATGCTCATGAGATGGAAGGAACAGTACGGATACTAAGTGATAGCTTTATTGATTTTAACCAATTTTTACGACTAAAGCAAGCGTAGCTACTGAATGCAATTGGTATTCAATGGATTGACTCTGCTGGTTCCAACTTCCCGTGACTTTGCAAACTCAATGTAAGGCAGCATGCCACCTCGACATAATGTGAAGTCATACACGATCTCTCTTCTAAGTCTCTACGTACCAACAGATGGTCAATCTACACCCCGCACATTCCTGCACCCTGATGTCCATGTCATGTCGAAACCACGGAAGAAGCTCGTAAATCACCGTGGTTGGTATTTTATGGAGCCTCCGAGAAACGGCGGCCGGGATTCGGAGAAGCTGTCGCAACAGACGATCAATCGAATGAAAATTAGGACAATGCAATGTATTTCGTATCTCTACCTAACGGGCGGCTAGACGCCTCCCCCTGGTCCGTTCGACGGGCGTAATCGCAGCGGTGGCCACAGTTGCATCAAAGAACATTGTTGATGACTCGGTGATGTGACTCGGTGACAGCGAATTTCGACCACCAACAAAGAAGGCGACTAGCAGTAAAATTATTGCCTGATAAGCTCCCGTGTACATTCCGGCACGGCTGGTCACAGTGCATATTACCCCGTATCCAGGCACCGGCTACCATCCGACCGCTCTCTGCCATCAGTTAACATCGTTCATGAACAACAGCTGGTCTAAGCATCGGCATTTCATCTTCCCCCAACTTCATCATTTGTAGACACCTCTCTTTCAGGTTTTATCATTTTTATTACTTTTATTACTTTACTTTCGGACCCGGGCGGCAATCAGTAACGATTTGCCTGTCTTCACGACCCGGCTTACACGCCTCCTGCCCATCCTCTCCCTCACCTTCACCACCAACACACACATCATGGCATTCTCTGCAGTGTCCAGGCCGCTTTTCCGCTCGCGATTAGCATCCAGCCGGTGCCTGGCCTCCTCCTCCCGCTCCATCTCACATCCCGCCCCCATCACCTCCTCACGGCGACACTACTCCGCCGCCGCCGCCTCAGAAGAGCTCAAGAAGACTCCTCTGTACGACTTCCACCTCGCGAACCAGGGAAAGCTCGTCCCGTTCGCCGGATATCACCTGCCCATCCAGTACGGATCCCTCTCCCACAAGGAATCCCACCACTTCACCCGCACCAATGCCTCCCTCTTCGACGTCAGCCACATGGTCCAGCACATCTTCAAGGGGCCTGACGCCGCCGCCTTCCTCGAGACCGTCACCCCCTCGGACTGGCGCGGCCAGGGCTCCTTGCAGAGCAAGCTGACCACCTTCCTCTGGCGCGAGACGGGCGGCATCGTCGACGACTCCGTCATCACCCGCCTCGGCGAGCAGGAGTACTACGTCGTTACCAACGGCGCCTGCCTTGAGAAGGACCTCAAGTACTTTGACGAGGAGCTCGGCAAGTTCGGCGGCTCTGTCGAGTGGACCACCCTCGACAACTCCGGGCTCCTCGCCCTCCAGGGCCCCCGCAGCGCCGAGGTCCTCCAGGAGGTCATCGCCCCCTCCTCCGCCGTCGACCTGTCCAAGCTGTACTTTGGCAACGCCATCTGGGCCAAGCTGAAGCTCTCCGGCGGCGAGGAATCCCACCCCGTCCTCATCAGCCGCGGCGGCTACACGGGCGAGGACGGCTTCGAGCTCTCCTTCAACGGGAAAGCCTACCCGGCCTTCGAGAGCACCCCCCTCGCCACGCAGCACCTCCTCCAGAACGCGGGTCCCGAGCGCCTCCAGCTCGCCGGCCTCGCCGCGCGCGACTCCCTCCGCCTCGAGGCAGGCATGTGCCTGTACGGCCACGACCTCGACGACACCACCACCCCCGTCGAGGCCGGCCTGAGCTGGATCATCCCCAAGGAGCGCCGCGCCTCCGGCGGGTTCCACGGCGCCGAGGTCATCAACGCCCAGCTCACACCAAAGAGCAAGGGCGGCAGGGGCGTCGACCGCCGCCGCGTGGGCTTCGTCATCAACGGAGCGCCCGCGCGCGAGGGCGCCGAGATCCACAAGGACGGCGAGAAGGTCGGCACCGTCACGAGCGGGCTGCCCAGCCCGACGGTGGGCAAGAACATCGCCATGGGCTACGTCAAGGATGGGCTGCACAAGGCCGGCACCGAGGTGGACGTCGTCGTGCGGGGGAAGAAGAGGAGCGCTACGGTGACCAAGATGCCGTTCACGCCCGCCAAGTACTACAAGGGCGATGCATAGAGGGGAGGGCTGTTGTAGATATATCACGAAGTTACTTTTAATGGGCTTGCGCGGGTTTGGTTTTCTTTCATCCAAGTTTTGTTTGTCTTTTTTGTTCTTTACCAGAGTGCTGAGTATGAAACCCAAGCAAGGGGTGGTAAACCAGAATTCCACAAAAACGCTAAACCGACAACGCTTCCCGGGATCTTGTTGAGAAAGATCAGTAGGGGTTAGAGAAAAAAACACGAAGAAAATACTGAATTCAGAACGCCGAGCTGTCTCTGGTGGGACGTTGAGCCACCGTACTTCAGTGACAGCCCTTTAAAACTTCCCTTGCTGTAAAAGCATCCAGATTTATGGGGGTGTGACGGAAAGACACCCCACCCCTTGCGTTTAGAAAGGGTAGTGGTGATAGTGGTGGTGATGATGATGGTGGTGGTAGTGATGGTGGTGGTGATGGTGATGGTGAAGATGGACGGAGGGAGCCGACGAAGATGGTAGGTTTGTCCGCCGCTCTACTTCAAGCTCTGCTGCGCGAGACTGAGAAGACTCTAGGATATCTCGAGGATCTCCTGGGGCCGCTTGCTGATCAGGTCCAAGCTCCTCCTCTGCAGCCTGTTCGGTGGCCCTCAACTGCGACTGGATCGCTGCATCGTCGACGAGGGGCTGTGCTGCGTCATGGAAGTGAGGTGACATCCTTGTCGAGACCGGTCCCACGTGTGACGCAGTTCCCATGGCTTGCTCTGGGTGGCTTGATGATGTATTTATGGAATGCGTATGGGTGTGCAACTGAGAACCAGGGTGGTGCAAGTGAACTTCACTGGGCGGTGCCTGGATGCCGATGCCGGCGGCATTCCCTACCGAACTTACAGGAATTAATGACGAATTCAGGTTACCCGGACCAGGTCCCAGATCTGGAGGATGCCCATTCGATGAGACATGACCCATATGACTACTGAAGAGGTTCGGGTCCGTGGGCACATCCAGGCCATTTACCACGAGCGGATCAAAATGCTCAAACCCCAAACCTACAGAGTCTTGAAAGTCCATTGCACCGGCAACGTCGAGATCGGTGGGAACGGTCGGCGATTCTGGAGATTCGATGGGTTCGTTCTCCGAGATGAGTGGCTCGTTTGCTTGTTCAAGTTGGTTGTCCGAAGCGCCTGGGCTGTTCTGCTGCTTGGACAGGTTGCGCCACCGGTTGCGACAGGTGAGCGGCGGGCGCCCTGGAAGTCGAGCAGAGATGGCCGCCCATCGGTGACCCAGACTGCGCACGCCTTCTCTCAGGATGTTATCCTCTTCGGGCGTCCAGCTCGTCAGCCTCCTCTGTGCCAGGGGATCAAGAATATCGTTGTATCGCTTGGAGCATTGGTCGTCCTTTCGCCCGGGGATGAGGGACGCGATCTCGTGCCATGATGGGCCAAGCCGTGCGTATGCTTCGAGTAGAATTCGATCTTCGTCTTGCGTCCATCGCCCTTTTCGTAGAGAGGGGTCTAGAGAGTGAAACCATCGCTTGCGACAATCCTATCAGACATCAATTGGTTAGACGGTGGAATGGAAGCGATGACATGTGTGCAGGCTGGGGGCTACGGCATAATCGCGCATCAAGAGATCAATCCCACCTTGGCCGTGCGACCAGGAATCCCACAGGCAATCTCTTTCCATCGTCCGTTTGCCCCTCTCGCATCCCCATAGTGGGCAACGCGAGACCGTAGGGTCTGATCCTCCCAGGATGTCCAACTTCGCCGTGTTCGTCGAGCCGAGCTGGTGGGGCCCGTGTGCGTTGCGGTCGACGGCTCCAGCTGGGAGGATACGGTCGGCATTGACGAGAAGAGATCCCCGAGTGCGTGAGTTCCCGTCCGTCTATAAGATCAATTGAGCGCACATGAACGTAAGGCCGCTGGCCGAACAAGACAATCTGAAACCCTGGCTGGATGATGACTTGCGGTCACATGGTTCGCTGGTTGGTGTGGATGTGTGGGATCTTGGGCGGTCTGGGAAGGCAGAATGGGGGGGTCGTAGTGATAAGAGATAAGGCTCCCGAACCTCAGCGGCTTTAGCACAGGACACTGGCGATCATCTAACCATCCAGATGACCTTCATCATTGATCATAGCGATCGTACACAGCATCTCCAAATATTTCCAAGCATCATCGTACAAGACACCAATTGCTGGAGCTGGGACATCGAAAGTGAAGCTTACGTTGAGGGGTCATATGGAGCCCGGACATGATCGCCGCCAACATAACAAGTCATGTGCCCCGGCTGACCTCCGATTCAGCATCAAGCATCAAACATCAACAAACGTCTGAAATCGCCCTCTGGGCACCCTGCCCCTATATAAATAAATCACAGAGATGGGCAAGAGTGATGAGAAGCCGTGAGCCCACCTCGTACCAGCAACTTTCCGCCTTGGTTCTCGGGCTTCTCTCGGGCCTTCGGCGTTCGGGGAGCTGTCCGCGACGCACAGCTCCGTCTCCGTGATTCTTACCCCGTCCATAAGTAAGATAAATCTTGGACGAATGGCACGGCGAGCGCCGGTCGCCGACACGTGGACAAGAGTTACTAGACAACCATTTAAGTACCTCGAGGAAACATCAGTTTGAAGAAGTGGCTACCCTAAACCCCTACTCTCGATCAACCTCCTTACGCTTCGTTTAGGAACAAATAGATGACGAGAGCATTGAACACGTGGGCTTAAGATGGAAAGCTCGTAATCATTCTGGGTTTCATTCCAAACAAGTGTTGGTAGATCGAAGGTGTGGATTTAGAAATATTGATTGATTCATGGGTCGAAAGAGTTGTCGCCCTAATCATCGAAATAACCTCCTCAACTAGGTAACTTGTCTCAACAAAATACACTACCACTGACCGTTTCGGCATGCCCTAAGATACCTGCCTAAAACACGGAAAAGCATTAAGCTGACGAGCTACAAATCCTACATATCGTTACTCCATTATAGTAAGGAGTATTGACAACCTTACCACATGGAGATGCCCTAGAAGTCGGGCTAGTAATAGCCCGAGTCATGCCTCTCCAATCTCATAACTTGACTGAGGATATGGGGAAAAAATTCCCTCGTTCATCGGGAATCTGTCAACCCGAGGGAAGGACAGAATCGATCTTGGCCGTCGTAGCTGCGCACATGCCATACTTTAATTCTGCTGTGGCGTCGGCCATTTCTTAGGAATCAATAATTCGGACCAAATTGCCCAATAATGACTTAGATTTGGTGGTTTTCGATCGGGCGCGGGAGGTAACCCATGATAAATTCCACTTGGCCCCGAACTTATGCGCACATCGCGGGGCTAGATCGTGAATAGACAGGGGCGGACCTGGACCCCGGCTCGATCTTGTACCACGTACCACCACGATGACACATAAATGTCGGGGACAAGCCATCTAGACCGCTCCCGACTCGTACATGGCCGAATTGATGGCTGAGACAGATCAGTAGTTCACCGTCTGTAGTGCCAGTTAGCGTCTTACACTTCGGCTTCTTGGCAGGGGCCATTGCGTCCCGCGAGGGTCTGAGCTTCGGCATGAACTCTTCTCTCATGTCGAGATTCGCTAAATAGGATCTTTTCCTTCACAGATGTTGGCCTCAGTTGCTTCTTGGGAAGGGACTTTCATGGACGGATAGTATGCCACACCTCCAAAGCCTGAATTTCAACCAGCGATCAGTTTACCCCTTTTCATAAAAAAGAGCGAGTGACGTGGATCGCAATGACATTTTCGGCCGCCTCTAGTACTCTTGGTACTGCAGAATCTCACTCAAGAGTGGAGTCGTTACGAAACTCTGAAATAGCTAGTTTTACAGAACCACATCTAGGCTGAGGAGCTTGATACACTGTGATGTTTGAGGTGTTCCTGGGGCGGCTAGGCCGTATGACTCGCGAGTTTGGACCCCAGTTTTACCAGCAAAGCAATCTAATTACGGAACGAAGATGCAGGATTGTGGGTTTATATTTCTATTGTACCTCCCTGTCCGCCGTCACTGTGCTGTGCAGTTCATTTATTTATTAAAACTTCCGAGATGTGTCCAACTTGTAGCTAAGGGGGAGTGTTTCATTTCCATTCCGCGACACTTCTGTGTAACACGAGACATCCATCACATACTACAAACCGCATCGCACAAAAGAGAAGGACCGCCAGGATGTATGTGCTGGGAGAGGTTGACGAAACGGTACGACCAGCATCGATTCCGACTCGCAAAGGCTCGATCGGTGAAGCCAACGAATGGGACCGGCACTAACTCTTTACACAGTTCCTCCAGGAGGTATGGATTTTGTATGGCATCGGTACTCTGATCTTGGTCCTTCGTCATGTCATCCGCGCCCGCAGCGTTGGTTTCAAGGGCCTTCAGGGTGATGATTACTTCGCCATGCTTGTCCTGGCTCTCTACACTATTGACGCAGTCACCGTACATAATGTTTGTAAGTATATGTTCACTACTTTTAACGCTCAGAATTTCCTTTGGCTGACTCCGATGAAGACTACATGGCAACAAACGTAGAGGGATCAGTGATCCAGACACAACGAGGTAAGGCTTCTCTTTTCGTTCCGGTATGTGCAACTAAAATCAGTCTGAGTACTAAACCAGCCTGAAATGATAGTTCTTACCGAAGGAGAGATATCGCAGCTTGTTGAAGGCTCAAAACAAGAGCTCGTTGCATGGTATTCTTACGCCACTCTCGTGTGGTGTCTCAAGGGCACCATGGTTTGCTTCTTCATGCGCATGACAATGGGTCTCTCACAGCAGCGACTGGTAAACTACATTGGCATTGCTTGCATTGTTTCATATGTTGCTGTCTTTCTAACCGTATGAATTTCCCACCATGGTGCAAGTCGAGCAACTCAAGCTGACATGACGCAGATCACTTTCGGATGCTTCCCTGTCCACTTGAACTGGCAGTAAGTCGATACAATACTTTCGCAGGGGTGTTCATTCATACTGACCTCATCTAATAGGGTGGTTCCGGATCCTGGACGTATGTTACCTCCTTCATTGCGAGCGATGATCTTAACGCACTAACAAAAATTAGGAAAATGTACTCTGAAGACACAGAACTTCTTTGTCATGACAGTTCTGAACGTGATGTAAGTATTCTAGACATGCGTTTTGTGCATAGAGTTGAGAGAAATGGCTAATGGTTATTCAGAACCGACGCTGCTATCCTATACGTGCCGTTACCCCTGCTATGGACCTTGCGTGTGCCCATTCGACAGTACGTCCAGCCCCCGCCAATTGTACCTCAAAAGCTAACATGTCGCGAAGGAAATTCGTGATCGGAATTCTTCTGTCCTCCGGTATCTTCGTTATTGCCGCAGCACTCATCCGAATCGTGTCCACCCTGTCTGTCAACCCTTCAGCCCTCACCGTCAATCGTTGGGGTGTCAGAGAGACTCTGGTTGGCATCATCGCCGTCAACGTCCCGATCCTTCGACCGCTCTTCAGCAAGAATTTCTGGATCAATGGCGCCAGGACCGGAAGTGGAACAGGACCATCTACCACCGGACTGAGTGTTGGGGCGCAGGGTCCATACGAAATGGCACCTAGCGTCAACGGAGAAGACAGCGTCTCCAAGCCGAACGGAAGCGAAGAGAATATTATCACAAAAGACGCCCGGGTCACTGTTAAACCCAAGAAGAAGATGTCAGAGGGCAACAACGTGTTCGTCCACAAGACATATCAAGTCACGAATGAAGCGAACGATGGACCGAATTGGCAGACGGGGACGTTTTCCGAGTCCAAGGCCACCAAGCGTGGCGACAGCAATGTATAATAATGGATGGTGGTGATGCTGGTATGATATGAAGTATACGTTCGATGGCACAGATTTTTAGATCAAGGCTCAGTAGTAAGAGCCGATAGTAGATAATTAACATTAATTATACGATGAAAGTCTATGTAACAATCACAAACTTTATTCCTCAACCCTTCCCTCTGTTCAACACTCAATTTAAAGCTCCCTATAACGCATAAATCCAACTCATGGTAATCTCATGCTCCACTGCTGGAGATCACATTACTTCTCTTCCGCTCCTAACGGTGATTTTCACGCGAGAAAGCGAAGCAAACTCCATGCTTATTAATTTAGTTAAAATTTGGCTACTCTTAAAGATTTTATTCTGCGACTATTATCAATGGCGAGGATCTGTTCCATAAGCTTTAGCATGGTGAGCAACTGACTTATTCTACCTAGTCTTCAAGACTCTCTACAGTAACTTCTGCTTGATCTTCGAACTTGGGCACTTTTAAATTCAGCAGGTAAAACACAAAAGCGAGGCATTACCTCCCATGTCAATGAATTCATAGACGGCAATCCACTCCCATCAGCTCTGAAGGTTTTCTGACAAAGGCGAAGATGATACAGTACTCGAACCACGCCACCCTTAACTCATGTCGTTGCATGTTGACCGTCCCGTTGGAGATGGGACAAATTCAAGAGCCACAAACTCTGGATGACTGACCGTCTTTCCAGTTCTTCTGTCTTTCATATGCTCGACTATGATACATTGGCATCTAGGTTTTGTAACATGGTATCGCGGACCCTAGCAAGTATGATATCTACCATTGACCTGCAGTAAAAGGCTTCGTTGTAGGATGCGCTCAACCACATTTGACCCCGCCATGTGTGCAGCATCATGACAACAGAGTCATCCAAAGTTCCTACGGCGGTCCAGATTTCCTCGACTTTAACAACCTCCTCCTGATGTAGATACTCATGTTTTACGTACTTGTCGATAACGCCGTAGCTGGCTGTGACTATAGATTTTAGCTCAGGGTGTTCCTGCAGCATGCATGAGAGCAGCTGGGTTGCTGATGGCAAGGCGGCCCCCTTTTCTGGAAGAATGCCATCTCCATGGTAGGCGTCCATCGCTCTCTTTGCATTTTCTCTGAAGGGAGCATTTGCACAAAGCTTGATCGGCGATAAAGCGAAGCGGCTGCAGACCAGAATTTCGTCATCTGGCGATGGTTGGTCAGTCCTCCAAGATCGCGAATCAAGTGTGGTCATCCCAGCCAAAGCCATCTTATCCGATAATGGACCTTTGCAAGTCTCTGTGGTAACGTCGGCCAATGTGGATGTTATGGCTGCCAACCAAGCGGCTGTGACGGTGATGCTATGCTGACGGCAAGCTCTGACCAGTTGAGTACTGGGTTCTTGCCCAATTGAGACCGCTGAGCGCGCCGTCCGTAGCGGTGTCGGCTTGTTGTGCTTGCTATTCGTGGGTATAGCTAATGGATCGACGTCGCTCAAAATAGATAGCCAGTCGCGAGCGACAAGGCTGTCCTTCCCTGACTGCGGGTATGATACAGGTATCATGTCGTCAATTTGTAAGGGCAGTTGCTGTATGCGGAGACGTTCAGGTTCGTTTTCTGTAAGGTCTTCGTTGACAAGAATACTGAGATACTTGTCAAAGAGCCGATATATCTCGCGTGCGCTGAAATGAACGTGGCCGGCCTGAATGGCGAGGCAGAATCTTCCAACCTCGCCGCCAGGTAGGAAATGCAACGTAATGTACTTTCGACGAAGTGATTCCGCAAAGATGGACTCCATCGTTGTCGACTCTTGATGCTTGATAAAAGACTCTTCTGCCCATGCATCAATGTCCACTTGGTCCATTTGAGATAATACTTTTTTCCCGTCGCAAACAACAGCTGTGAGTGCTGGAGCGCTTCCTCGTAATACGCGCCACGCTCGCCTCAGTCGGTCTTCCAAGCCTCCACGAGAAGGGATGAACTGAAGTCGCAGGAAACCATGTACACTCAAGTGCTGTCTTGGTCCAGGTATTGATTTATCTGTCTGGTCCATAAATTCTTCAATGCAGCCGAGCTTTTGCTCGTAGACGTTGTCGGTCATTTTCCATGGGAAGTGATGCATGGCTGCAGACCGTCGGGGCAATGCCAAGCAAGTACAGTGGTGCGTGAATGGACTAAGAAATGAGCGACCGGGGAGCAGAGGTGGGCGTCGGCCAGGGGTAAACTTGCCCTTGCATGTTCGGGAGACTATGTATAAGACTTAGGGGTATGAAGAAAAGTAAGTTCTGAGTTTATGAGTCGCTATAAGACTTGATCCTGGTTTGTTTGGGTCGCCTTGTGAACAGCCCTTCGTCCGCGTACCTAGGTGGTTATTAAAGAACTATAGAGGCATGTACATTCCAGTGATTGGGTTGGATTGGTATGTGATACGCGGTATGTGATACGCGGTATGATTCCTGAGTTCAAAATAGGATTAAGTTTCGTCTCCTCCAGATCTTTTTACACTGTGTATTATATTTGAACGCCTTATGAAGTAGCAATTCAGCTCTTATGAGCTACTCTGACTACTCTTCATAAGTAAGTCCTATAATAAACCCCCACTCGTGTTATCCGGCTACTACTCTGAGTCTTGCTGTCGGAGGCTCATTCAATCCCAGACTAAAGCTCTGATGACTGTTTACGACAGTAGGTCGCCACTAAATACCAGTATACTAAGTGTATTCGTAGATGAGCCTTCCACTATTAGGTGGGCGTTGATCGCCTTGATGGATGCCTTCAGCAGGGTCTTTCTGGTAGGCGACAACACAACAGGGAGTGGGGCAAATCAAGTTTGGCAGATGTCCTAATTTGGCGGTTTGGCGGATGCCCTGCTGGCCTGGTAGATGCCCTGCTGGTTTGGCGGGTTTATGGCCGATGCGATGATGTAGCGCTCTGTTCAAGCATCCTTGGTACGTTCTCCGTTCTTGATTTACAGGTGCACTAGTATTTCGATGCCCTATCAGTTCCAGTGGGTACCTACCTCGTTGCGGATTCAATATTGGGCTCTCTATACGAAGCTCCGTGGCGTACGTTATGAGGCAGTCGTTAAATGGCTATTGCGTCTATTGCAGTAAAAAGACTTGAGCATCTTATTTTAGGATGGTTGAAGACTTAAGTGGGTTATAAATACTGCCCATCCTATCCACAAAACTATTTTCACAGTGGATGCTCGTGCAACAATACCGATAAACAGGTCAACACCACAATGCGCTCCACGTCACAGTGCTTGACTCCCTATGAGGCGCTCTGCTGTGACCGGCCCGCTCGACGTGCAGTACAAGATAGCGGGATAGCACAAGGAGTCATGGCCCTCCATTATGCGTGGCGTCATCGTACAGGGCAGGCACTGGCGATGGTAGTACGAACGAAGTCCCTGTGTTGGAGTTGGCCTACTAGATAGGACGTGACCCGCGCGTCGAGCTGACCAGACCCTCAGTGTACGAGCCGTATCCAGACTTGCGTGAAAGGCTCAGCGCGAACCTGGACTGATGGCTTGGTAAGCAGTTATCCTTGCTGCCAAACCTGTGGTGTACATTTCCGCAGAGCAGGGGCTAGGCAAATGCCATCTTCTCTGATACCAAGCCGCCATCTAGGCGATATGAAACCTCAGAGCCTCCTCCGGTCAATATATCCTGACGGGGATTGTTCAGAAACTCTATGGCCTCCGTGAGAAGACCAAGAGGTTTAGTTCCGCCATATCCTAACACATTTCGGCGTGTCTAGTAACAAGCCGTTGACGGGTAGCTAAAAAGGCGGCCCCTCATGACCCAGAGGCACCAGAGGCTAACACATAAACACTTGTTACTACAACAAAATCTACTATACACGTGACTGCAGGTAAAGGGAGCAAATAATGCAACACAGCAAATAATGCAACACGCCCTACTCAAATGTAGAGCTGTATTCATAATATATCTGGCCAAGGAAACACCACCTTCCTCCGGGGACATCCCGAGAAGAAACACGATCCTGAGATCCACTGCTTGAAATACAGTCGAGGCAACGGGTCGGCGGGGCCTGCTACTTCCACTTGAATAGAGACATGCCGGTGCAAGTCATTGTAGTTCCTTTGCTTGTCATCCACGGTCTTGGGACATAAACTGGTAAAAACGTAATCCGATGGGCCGAACGGTTCCCCATGGTCATCATGATTGTAGATAAACAGGGCAGAAATTTGAGGAGTTGTATTGGTAGGAGAGCCGTACAAACGCCCCAGTCTAAGGACTTTGCCATCTTTCATTGCAGCAATCACTTCCTGAATCATTGTAAATACCCAGCGGTGTGAGAATTTGGATGTTGTAAGCGGTCTAAGAGGCAAGTTCCAGTCATTATAACGGATGAAATGGTTGATTTTTCTTGCGAGAAATTGGGCATCATTGTCCCTCAGCACATTCACCAACTGCTTTAGACGGTCTCGCGTAACTAATGTCGGTTCCGAAGGCTTCAAACGCAGTGGATCAGGGAGCAGCTCGTCCGTACGTATCAACTTCTCTAGCTTCCACAAATGCCCGGTGGTTTCGACCCCTGCACTTGTAAGGCAAACAGGATCGAATCTGCAATGTTTGTTGTACGTGAGCCTATGATCGTTTGGGGGGGCCTCAAATTGCGGAAAGAAAAAGCGTTCCGTAGTGGGTGTCGGCCGCGTCAAATCTTGGTTCCGGCCGCGGCCGTTGTCGAAAATCTCTCCGTTGAGAAGACGTAAAGCAAGGATATTAACGGAAAGATTTTCTTTTTCAAGCGACTTCACATCCAACCGCACAGGATATGTGCAACAGTTTGCGATAATGGCGAGGATATCAGACTCCCTAGCCACCTCCTTGAATTGGAGTTCGGCGATAATTCTGGACGTCATCGATTCTGATTCATGCAAGAGAATCGAGTACCTCCCAGCCGCATGAAGAATGCGATGTGGCATGTCACTCTTCAGTCCCGCAGCAAGGGCTGCTTGGCAAAGTCGGGTCGTGTGCTTAAAGAAGCTCGTTGACTGGATGCTCAATTCGCCAGGGACGTACCCGAACACGTCCGCAAACTCCCTCTTGGTACTTTCCAAATTTGACGGATGATGGATCAGCAATGTCATTCTTGTGCTACCACGGTAGTTCTCCTGGAACGTCCAAGCTCTCGTCCACCACTTGTCACTAGTGATAGCATTCAGTAAGGTCAGAGCATCTCCTACCTCTTTCCGAGACGTCCTCCTGGAAAGTCGGGGGCCGTCGATCCCGCCAACCACAAGCCGCCCTCCCATGATCTTTGCCAAAAGCCGCATATCTTGTTCTTGCTCCATTTGCCTGCCAAGCAAGGCAACAGGGAATTCAGAATTGCCGTAGACGAGGTCTGAGGCGTGAAGAGCCTCGCGTTTTGTAGCGCACTTTTTATGTTTGCAATGGTGGGTCCTGCAAGCCTTTTGCGCGATGCAGTATCGATCGATCCATAAATAGAATATGTCGTGAACACGCATATACTTAAGGATACGTTTAAAGACACAGTCTCGAACCTTGCATGGGACGTATCTTGCTTTATCCCGGGCCTGGACTGCATATTGTTCGTGAGTCTTGTCCTCGTGCTCGGATTTCTCCCAAGTATACGACAAAGCCACAAATCGCTTCTCCTTCCGAGCATTGATCCAGTGGCGTTTGAGTGGCACCCTTGGTGGTGACCAATCCAAGCGCAACCTAGGATCAGACGGCGGACAAAGCACCTCTAAATGTCTGATATACTTCCACATTTTTGGAATCTCTTCCCTGTGCTCCTGAACATTGAGGAGTCGTGGCACAATGGAGTCTTGATTGTCGGTCAATTTATCAGTCTCCGGGGCGGGACTGGTGAACGAAGTTGTTTTCCTGTATTTGTTAGGTTCAAGTTCAAAGAGGTAAGGAATACCTGAATCGGGTGGCTCACATGGTTGGAGCGCGCGATATGAATGCATTAAAGCTGTACTGCCACAGTCGATAAGGCGTGTTCCTTCTTATGTCCTCAGCGTTTGACCAGGAGTGTAGTGTGTAGAAGCAGCAAGTGGTAGGAATCCGCGAAAGAGTAGACCTGCATACTTGTACGATTGTTACTACTAGCGCCGCAGTGGCACCGCGGGACATAGGCAGATCGCCTTACCGGTCGCCTTACAGGTCGCCTTGCCAGCAACACGATCGCCTTCCACGCCTCACCAAAGCGGGTCGAAGAACGATCAAGACTCGAAAGGCAACCGCTAAGTGGGCCATAGTAGGCTCCCGAATAATAATGCAGTCCATGCTACTACATCCTTTACAATGAAGGTAGATCTTAGAAGCTTAACACCTAGTTAAGGCAATCATATTAAGATTGCACATACCGTAGGCCTGAATCAAGGTAACAACCTGCTATATTTGGCGGTAAGTAGGGGTTCGGCAACATTAGACTCGCAAGTATTTGATGTACCCTGTACCTATTCACTCCAAAATCTTGGCATCTTGATCGATGTTTGGCCACGCTACCGAGAATTGAGACCCAACTCAAGTCCCGTCGGGCCCAGTTCCCTCGTCCAGGTCAAATGCTGCTGCCACGATCACTGCAACCCGTTATAGAGACCGCCGGTCTGGTCATCGAAGTTGTCGGACTGGCCGGGCTTTTCAACTCTTGTCTCGAGGCTCTCGATAAACTGCAATCTTACTGGACCTTCAAATATGACTCTCTCGTCCTAAATGCGTGATTCAATTTGACGCCACCAAAGCTCGCTTCGAGCAATGGGGTCTAGGTGTGGGTATCGAACGGGGCCAACTGAGGCACACCCGTCACCCAGCTTTGGATCATAAAGTCCTTTCAGATGCAGTAGCCAAGTTGTTACATGTTATTGTTGAGGCGATTTGTAATCGCACCAACGTAGCCAGCCTCCCATCGTGCTCGGGGCGTGGACTTTGACAACGACAGCTAAGTAGAAGGGGACCGACACACGCTTCGCCATGCCATACATGAGTCAAGAAAAAAAGAAAATGGCATGGGCATCATGGGAAAAGGGAGACTGTACCGAGAGGGTGGAGATATTCGAAACCCTTGTCCAGCAACTTCACAATCTGGTGCCCCTAGTACGGGGAACGATCCATGGCCAGCACCGAAACCAGACGTTCGTAGTATCAATCTACTCACTAAAGTTAAGGTCTGCATCGCACCACGGGTTGATCCAGTCCACGGATGGTCTAATCAGATACGTAGGGCCTTGGAGCGAATTGAAGAGAATGCCAGAGGTAGCATGGTCCCATGCCAGGGCCTTCAAATCTAGTTTCCCGTGCTAATATCATGTAGCCGAAACCCAACGCCAAGTTCACGCCTGGCTCAGTAGTTAACTTGAAACGCTTTGGGCTGGCGTAAGCCTTCTTGATGGCGTTGTAGTCGTGCACAACGCTATGTTTTGCGAGAGCATCGTTGCATCTTGCGCAAGGCGGCTTAGAAATACCGATAACGGGCATGAGCTTGTTTTGCTGCTTTATACAGGCGATGATCTGTGTCTCGCTGTGGAAATACCGGTTGTCGTTGGCTGTAGCTGGGTGGACAGTGGGGTGGAGGAGATATATATGGAAGTCGGGATGAACAGCTTTAGGATACCAAGTCTTTCATACGCCTAGTATTGCAGCCTTGTATCTTCTATCGTGAAGTCCAAATTCTGTGGGCAACTGGGCAGCGCCCTTAGGAGGCTTCTGTCCTTGTAACACCTATGTCTCGCTTTTCATGATATTGCCTGCAATGCAGATGTCTTTTCCGTCCGGCGAGATTCCGATAGTAATGGTGTCGGCTTGTTTCTCAGTGGCGTCTTTGTTATAAATCTTCTCCGCGATATAGTGATATTTTTCTTTGACTCTTTTTTGGAGTTCGGTGAGGTCGAGGCTACTGAGTTTCGCTTTCTTAGTGCTGTTATTGAGTCTTTAGCTTTCAGCTTTGAGGAGCTTTTCTTAGGTGTTGATTTTGTCCAGCTAGTCTACGCGATCGTTCCCGTTAACCCTGAGTTCTCGGGCCAGCTGTTTAAAGTGGTTGTTATCTTAAACCCGGCTGCTCAGGGGTTGATGCCAGCTACATTGGCCGGCTCCCAGCCTACTCTAGGATACGTAATCGTAATATCACCGATTTCGCTTTTACCTCCAATTAAAACCTCCTTCGTAGCTTTGCAAAGCGTGCGTCAGGAAACACGCTGCGCTATAACTTCATATTCTTGAGTTGACACTTGCACCTTATACTTGGACATGATCAACTTACAGCCCAAAAAGAGCTGCACTTATGGCTGCATTTAGGTAAAATGAATGCAGTGATATTCAGCTTGAGGAGCCCTCCCTAGTCAACCTAACGTAAGTCTAAAGTAAAGGCCTCCCTACAGAGTTATAATTAACATGACTTGTTGTCCGGGTCCTCAAGATATCGTCGAGCGCAATACTCTCGTGCCAAATCAGAGCAAATAGCGCGGCAAGCAGCAGCTTCTATATCGCAGTTATGCATGCATGTCTCACAAGCTCGACATGCTGTAAGAAAAGTACCTGAGGTATCACATACTTTAAACCGATCTCCTTGATTCCCTCCATCTCTGAGAAGGTCGCACGGCCCGTCTCCATGGTTTAATCTGCATTCTCGGTCGCATGGGTTTGGGCTGCAAAGCAAGTGGCATTGGAGCCATATATTGTAGCCAGAGTTTTGACAAGTCGCAAGGACAGGGAAGCTGAGTGTAAGATAACAGAGCGTTGAGAACCGCATCTTATTCTGTTGTCTTTGCTGAGGGGGATGGATATATGCTGAGCGTGGGCAGAATCTCGGTGGTTAAGATGGGTGTCACCGTGCTAACCACCTGAGGTTTGTACCAGATCTGTGTTTGGAGCACTCGATCAAATAGCCTGGCTTCAGAGTAGATTAGCTTGAATGAGTTTGTCTCTCATGAACAGAGAGTCGGAATATTACACTGGATAGTATATAGTCCCTGGAGATCTCGTGCAGGGCCGGGTAGTTTAGATAATTTCTGTAGTAGTCAGTTGTATAGATAGCTAATACATTTGATCTGAAAGAATATAAAGTAGTTTTTATACTTAGATATATACAACCTTGATGACAAATCATAGTCCTCATTATGATCTTATAGTTTTTGGCCCATATAAACCATAACACTCCTAGTAGTACTTAAACAGGGCTATCTCTCAGAGCATTCCTTATTATACCCCCTTACGCAAGTAATTATTTGAGGAGCTATCTGTAGGGTTATATAGCACACTTCTGAAAAGTCAAGGCAAAGATTAGAGAGGTGATAAGAGGCATGTACAATATAATATCTAAGCCTGAAGCAGTTAACTGTAAATAATTCTTACAGAATCTGCTATAGATCTTGTAAAACGACTCCTCGCAAGCCTTTCCTGTATACCCTCGATCTTCTTACTCTGGTTCCAATAGCTAGATTAAGCCGTTAGCTTAGAACTTTGTCAAAAATTCTGGAGAATTCAGGGAGTCAGAAGCTGTTAGCGCTGCATTCCTTCAGGTGGCAGAAATGTTTCAGCTGAAATTTTTGAATGGTGATTGCCCCTTCACTGAGTACCCCCCTTAGCCTGAGCCATATCACTGCATGATGAGTACCTGAGGCTATCGAATCCATTTGAGCCATCGGAAGAACTACCGTTCTTCATCGCTGTTGGGAACATTAGCAAGTCGAATATTGGTAGTAGTATATGTCTGTATTCCGTAGTTGTATGCCAATTCGTTGATCCTTCATATTTTGGGTGGGAAATTCCATCTTTCACGATAACTGAATCATGCGGATTACATGCTGTCATGGATCTCTCGGCAATGAACTTACATGGTATGCGCTTGAGAATGTTAGGTTGAGCTATTAGAATAATCGCGACGTTGGGGTGCAAAGCGATATCACGACAATTCGCCACATTGACTGAGCCTCATCTTACAGCATCCCCACTACCCTAAGGTGCGGATATTTGTCATATCTGATATGAGCTCATCGATTACACCATGGTGATTTGCATTGGTTTCAAAAGTTCTCGTCGAGACCTATCACTTGCGTCATTGCTGTGAATTCGCGTTCTGATTCAAACCAGATCCAGTCTAGCTACCAAACAAAACCGCAGGAATTGTATCTATTCCTATCGGCGAAACTCAACATTCTTCTATCATCGGTACGCCGCGTGGTAGTAGCCGGCCAGCAGCTCTTCATACGGCGGAATGACGTTGTCAACATCGCCTGGTTCGTGAAGCAGTGGAAGACCACATCCTTCCCTTTCTTTCCGACGCTCAACGCGAAGCCACTAAGCATCTACGCGCGCTAATACGTCATCCTGGAACCCTCTGACCTGTTCGCCACCTTGCTCAAACAAGCATCGACCGCCACTACCATACGTTGAAGGTCATCATTCTCACCATTGGGTCACAACGCCGCTTGCTCCTCCGCCGCCTCTATGCCGTTCCGGCGAGCCTATGCTTTGTATCGCCTTTACGGATAATGATCGCTGCTTCGGGTATAATAAGAATTTTTCATCCTCGCTCTCAGGTAGCCAAAAGCAACATTGTTCTTGGCGTTAAGAATCTCTCGAAGATATATTGGGAAGCCTGTGTAGACCAGCCATCGGGCCCTATCCGCCTGTTCTTGGCCGAGGTCCCCGATCATGGAAGCCTGCGTTTAAGATGTTAACTATGCATCGTAACCCGGAATAAAGTTGATATCATCTCCAGAGAACCCACTAAAACTAAAATTAGGGCACTAAATAGCATCGGGAAAATCCCAAGTACCCAAGGGCCTTGGGCTATGGATGCCTCAGATAGTTGGTGTAGGATCCCTAAAAAGAGCTTTTGATCAAGTGATTAACCCAGGGGAAGGTACCGGCCCCACGAGAAATTAGTCCACGAGGTATCTGATACCTTTCTATAGGTCCTAAAACTCTGGCTTCTCGGTGTATAATGCGGATCGTAGACTCACAAGTGTTTAATAACCCCTCCTAGATTCTAAAAATTATTAAAAATCCATAACTTCTGTTGTATCATGCAAGATAGCTTGATTATTCAGATGAAAAATATACAAGACTGGACTGGCTCTTGATTTTGATATCCATTATAAGTATACAGCCATGGACTAAACGGGGTCACCTCTACTTGTTTCCGTAGTTAGTTGTTGGATTCTAAATCGCGTTGGGAAACTATATGCTTTATTCTAGGCAACAAAAACATATGTATCATCCTCATTGTAATATATTACTCGCCTGCTACCGAGCACTCAAGGCCAGCAGGGGTTAGCATTATTGCCATCACTTGTTTATATAACATTGAGCTAACAACGCCTTCCATACTTCCTTTACGACGCCTAGGTTTAAAGCTAGCGATATCGATATTAGGAAAATGTAGTTATTGAAGATAAATAACAGCGACCATAAACGAATGTTGTAGTGACTATTCTTGCGACATGAGTTCTTCAACAGCTAACTGCTCCCTTTATCTTTATCTTCAGATAATGATCAGCAATACTGAAAGTCTTCACTGAATTGAATTTCGGAGCGACAGAAACCAGCTGGAATGATATTGTTGCCGGTAAGTAGCGCGATGCCCTCGCCATGATCATGAGGCAGATCGTTTGTCGTTAACATAACCTTATATCCCTCTACCCTCTACTTCAGAAGATGAGGCGTATATATTTATCTATATAATCAGGATCAAGATATTTATTGTAAATATTGATTACTCCTATTTCCGGTTCAGATTCTACCCTGCGTATAGGGATAAAAGATAATAGTATTAGCTACTTGGGCTAATCTTGAACGGAAGATTATTTAGAAAATTTATTATTCTGGTTTGAATAATAAAATGAAATTGTATATCAGATATATACGTATTACGGTTGTTGATTAATAGCCTCGTACTATAATATAAATCTCCGGTTACTCAAATGCAAAAGGGGTAAGTTATCCCCCAAACGAGTAATAGTTTAGATCATGCTATATGAGGAAGGCTACCCCGAACTGGCGCGTCTTTTATTTGGTCTGATGATCGAACACCTCCTAGCCTAAATCTTAAGAGGAGATAAAAAAAAAAGGAAGAACACATATTTGCTTATCTTTATATCTACGAAATATACATGTTGATGAGTCACGCGAGAGGCTAAAATCAATAGAAGCCCCCGACCGGAATGCCTCCCGAGGCTTGATAAACTCGTTATTCCCACATCATCTTCTTTACCTCATCGCCACCATAATCCCCTCACCCTACCCCGCCCAACGACAACAAAAATGCCCGGCTTTCTTGTACTTGATAACAACACTATTACAGATATCTTCCTCAATTTATCTAAGGACGATATCCTCAAGTTCAAATATGCGTTTGAGACAACGATTAGGGAATTTATCCTAGGCGCGGAGGGTTCCTTGCAGCCTCAGCCAAATACGGTCGTTCGTCCAGAAGGGGGGAAGACACTCTTCAGGCCGTTTACTGGACCTAAAAGTGTTGGAGTCAAAATCGTGACCACACCTCCTCCAAGGCCCGGCGAAAAGCTCCCTCTCGGAGGTATCATCACTCTCTCCGACGAAAACGGTGTGCCGTCGGCTATCTTCAATGCAGCCGAAATCACTGGCTTCCGAACCTCTCTCAGCGCCTTAATTCCCTGGTACTGGAGGAAGCATACAGAACACATCGTTGTTCTTGGTGCTGGGAAGCAGGCCCTTTGGCATACTCGTCTCGCGTTAGCTCTGAGGGGTGACGAGATCAAATCAATTACAATATATAACCGCTCCCAGGATCGTGCGCAAGAACTATTACAAACCGTGCAAGCGGATAATGACAAATATTGGAAGTCTCCCGCACAGTTGGCTGTATTTGATTCATCCTTGGCCGACTCCGATGAAAAGGTCCGATTGCTGCTCACAGAGGCAGATGCGATCTTCTGTACTCTTCCGACCACTGCACCACTATTCAAGGTAGACACTATTTTCTACAAGGAGCGAAAGAGACTCCCTTATATTTCAGCTATTGGTTCCTGGACCCCTGATATGACCGAGATCGGCCCCGATGTTCTACGCAAAGCTGTTGAGACAGAGCCTAGTTTCAACCCGACTGGTGGAAAGGGTAGTGTTGTGCTCTCGGACGATGTTCATGAAGCTACTCTCAAATCTGGGGAATTGGTGAATAGCGATCTTACTACGGATGAGTTGCTCAACGTAGGGCAGGTGATCGATTGGTTGCGAGGTAATGGGGATCTGGAACAGCCGCAGAGGGAACGTCTTGATAAGTGGCTAGCCGAGGGCTTCGTCGTGCTCAAGGGTATTGGTATTAGCACCACTGATTTGACATCTGCCGAGGAGATTCTTCGTGTAGCTAAGGAGAGAGGCCTTGGAACTCTTATTTCTTCCTTTTAGGGATTGGATAAAAAGCTTTCTTCTGATGGGGAGGGTCATCGTCTTGAACCCTGAATCCAGTTCATCAAGTATCTGCATGTTGCCATAGCCTGGCCCGAAATGGGCAGGTTCAGCCGCCAACTTATGACTCTATAGCATATATAAGGACGAGCGGGAATTTCGATTATCGGCATCCGCATGCTCTGTATATTCTAGCAATATGTAGCATTCAAGGTCAAGCTTAAATAAACGAAGAATCCAATTCCATGAAAATACTGCCCCAATCAAAAGATTTAGGGTCGATTTCAACGCCTTCTTCAAACTTATGAGTGAAATCAGTCCAGTATGAGGAAATATCTTCTGGGATAAAGTCAAGATGTTCTCCGGACCTTGCGACAGGGTTTGGGCTGTTATTGACGTTGAAAGGATCCTCAGTAGTTTCCGGGAAACGGAGATTATCATAGATACCATATCCAGGAGGTATACTATTGTCAAAGGATGTCTCTTCATAGGGAAATATTTGATGGTCTCTTTCACTCTTGCCACCACTGTATGCAAGAGGTTCTTGCCGTTCGCTTGGAACAAAATCGGAAGCTGACGTTTGGTGTTTTCGAAGAATATGCATCAGCGAGTCAACAAGTTTGGAAGTAGTTTCTGAGCCCTTTTTCGCAATTTCCATGATTTTGAAAGACCTGAAGATCTCTTCTCGCTGCTCATGTTGTTGCGGAGATAGTGGGCTGATATACGCATCCATGAGCAGAACGGCACAAGCCAAAAAGACCCCAACCAGGAGCTCGGTTAGTTTATTCTGTACCACATTGTCGATGTCCGCATTCTCCGACCATATATTTGATCAGATGAGCAATCGCGCGTGCTTGAGACAGATTTCCCGAGAAGAGCAATACGCTGAATCCTCGGCGCTGAGTATAAAATATGGCAGGTGGATCTTGCATCGTTGTGAGTAGAGCAAGAAGTAAACAACTTTGCCTTGAAATACGATATCCTCAGCTCGAGCCTGAGTCAGACCGTAGGTCTCCATCAGCATAGGAGGTGTCATTGAATAGAAACCTGGAACTTCGTTGATAAGAGTCTGGAGTTCAGTATCGATGTCCATAACCGCATCATGACTTAGGCCTCCTGTATATGCCATCATGAGTGGACTTCGATCGGCAATGTTGCGAGATACTTCAGCTAGACGTATTTTCTGTAATGTATATGACATAGAGGTTGGAAGCGAAAGGGGGCGCTCATGACGACTCATGTCATCCAAAACCTCTTCGTCATTGATGTTGAGTGGCTTTTTCGTGATCATCTGGCGAGGATGGCATGAATAAACACCCTCGCCGACTCCGCCTACTCGTGCAGCCATAGCCCTTCAAGATATGTTAGCACCCTAGCTTTGGCAGTTGAATCATGAAAATTACCAATCAGATGCACACAAATACCACCATACCCTGCGTTTAATCTCTGCCTGTGATGTGTTCGCCTTTCCAGAGTTAAGTGGATGGTCAATGCGATGAAGCCCCAAGTCTTGAGCGAGCACCAATGTGTTGGCGAACAGGACCCGGTATCTATGTAACCCGTCGATATGGGCGGCCATAAATCCTATAAGTATCATTCCTTGGACCCCTTCAATAGAGATTTTACGTCTCCGAGAGGTCGCCTCCACAACATCTTCAGCCGCGGTGATCCAAAGCGAGACTTGTTCGTTAGCGTCTGACAGGGAAGAAAATGCACCATTGACGCCATCGCTTTGGGCCCAGGAATATGTTGCCGCCGCGATAATACGTAGGACCCGTATGAAATGTCCTGGCTGTACCTCCTGTTGTAGGCTCAAATTCGCATAGACTCGTTCAAGAATAGATGGAAGATGGGGAATATGGGTCACATGTGGAAAGTAATGAGCAACACGAATAAAATTTTCCAGAAAGACTTTGGTCTCGTCGAGCTGGGGTAGCCATATGCATCTTGAAAGCCCAGAGCTAAGAGTTGAGCTCGATTCAGGCTGGTACACGTATGGCTGTGCTTTGAGCACCTGCTGAACCGGGCAGATCCTGAAAACTATGTGATTTCCTAGTACCGCGGTCTAAATGGCAGTCAGTGATAAGCTATACATTGCGATCTACTCTAGAAGAAAGTGAGGGAATTCAAATCACAACCTAGGAGCTGCCTACTATGAGTAACAAACTTACCGTATGAATCTTCCCTGCGTAAGTGCTATCAAGATTGGCAGCATCACTACCCATATCTATGTCCTGGAATTGCGAGGACGAAGTTGATTGATACTGAGATCCTGAACTTTCAGGACATTAGGTGTTTCTTCCTTGTACCCCTTCTTTCTGAGCGAGCAACAAACTCTCAAGCCTATGAAGACGCTCGATAATCTCCGAATTTCCAGAAGTTTCAGAAATTACAACCGGTTGCGGGTGCAGAGGTTCCAAATCGCAAGCGATTCCCCTTGAAATACAGTTGGAGCAAGGCGCTTTTCTGCTACATCGTAGCTTTCTTGTCCTACAAAAAGTGCAGGACACTGGCTTTTGGCGAGATTTTGGCGGCTGAGATTGTTCTTTGGGCATTCTGTATTTTTCAAGATTTACTAAATAATTTAAAAAACAGGAGACTCTCAAATATCTAGCAATCGTGCCGGTTGATGGAGAGTGACAAAACCATCGGAGTTTCCGTCAAAATCCGCGGAACCTAATCTGGTGATGATGTGATGACATAAGTCATGATACTGTTCAGGGGATCAAGTCAGGCGTACTTGGTCCCCGCCAACAACAATATGCAGTCATACTTGGCCGTCCCCACCAACAGGAGTACACAGCCACCGGTATGCGAGTACTCATCCGCCACCAACAGATTATGCAAAGCAACGGAGGTGCAGGGGCAGTGCAGTTGTCTGCCTGTTGGAAAGAGGTCCTTTAGCACAACTTAAGATGGTCGCCCCCAGCGACAAACAGTTCCTGGACATGCAACCAAGCATTTCAGATGTCCATATTCATATCTCAATAACTATTTTCAAACATACGTCTCCTTTACTCTTAAATCCAAGGATGGATTCTTCTCAAGCATGGTCGGTCTTTCACAGGGCCCAAATCGACGAGATTATTCAACAGGGCCGACAAGATACCCTGTGTAGTACCATCAGCTCTCACCTTAAAACAATCAATATACAGTACATACTAAACAGCCGACCGGAGGAGTTTTATGTATCTGAACTCCGTGATATTTGGTATACTCTTATTCAAGCAGGCAAGAATATTACTACAGATGAGCTTCTTGAAGATGGTATTTCACAGGGATGTCGTCAAGATGATATTGTACGTGAACTTGTCACTTTCAGAGCTCTTGGGACCCTGCAACGTTCAGTACAGACCAGCAACTTGGATGATGATTCCAACAAGGGTACTGATAGTGTACAGGGGGTCATCACCTTCTCTGATGGCCATACACTTTGGTCTGGTCTACCTCTTCTCTCTATATGTCTTACTGAAGAGTTTACAAAGTATTACTATCAGAAAGACTATAGTGCAGAGCAGCAAGGAAATATGGCAGGCCTAATTGCACGGCTCCTGGCTGCTGGTTTTTATGATGGCCCTGGTTTATGTGCATTATCATTATTCCGGGAGACCTTGGAGACTTCACGGCCGCTTGTTACAGATGCAGATAGCAAGGAAACCTCTGAGACACTCTTATCACTGGAGGATCTGCTAGGACATCTCACAGAATTATGCCAAAACTCTGGATATGGCCTTGCTATCTTGAGTAGTAGCCAAACATCAGCAGCTACTATGAGCATGATAAAGACCAATGCTGCCGACTACCCGCACTTGTCTAACCTCGGTGACCTAGCCCTTCAAGCTGGTACCACCACTGACTCCTCTCCCACTGGGTATAGTCCGCAGCGTTGGGGATTCTGGGTCCAGCGACTCACCGAATTGACACAGTGCGGGGTTAAGAGCATAGAGCGCACGGCCAAGTTTTGTTTGGGCCCGATGCGTTGGGCAGGAGATGAGACCAATCTTCTCCCAGGGCTGATTAGTGAAGAACTTGTCATATTTGAGGATGAATATGATGAGCTGGCTTGTATCTAGATAGGCTGTGGTAGTGGAAGCGAGATTTTATAGGGCGGAGATAAAAGAGCTAGATAAGTAGTAATAGCCAGGTATTAATATTATTTAGCTATTACTTATGCCGTTGGTTCGGATGCTCTCTCCAAACTTCCAAAAGACTAAAGGTATTGGAGCAAAGGCCACCGCAATGAAACCCAGAAGCGATGTGCCCCATCCAACCCCAAGGGCGTCGTACATACTGTTTCCTGCCAAAGGAAGCAGTGCCCCCAAGAGAGAGTGGGAAACAATAGCCGCTGCGGTCGCTGAAGCGGCATAGGGGGTGTAAGCATCCACAAGATATGCCAACGACGGCATCTAATGAAGTAATCAGTAAGTTGAGCTCTATTTTCAGTCAGTAAATGACTTACGATGATGGTGAATGATGCAGCTCCTAAAAATGCAGATCCGATGATTGGCACAATCCAATGGATATTCTTGGTAGCAGTCCAGCCGTATAGGAACAAGCCGATGGGTGCAAGCGCCGCGCCTACAAACAAAAGCGGTAGTCTGCACTCGGGCTTTGGCTCGCCGCCATTTCTTTTCGTCAGTTGTTTGACAAGCCGGTCTGAAAGTACTGCGCTTAGAACCAAGGCGAAAAGGAATCCCACTCCAATGCCCAAGTACACCAACCCAATGCCGCTCTTTGAAAACCCGTAAGTCCCTTCGAAAACTCGTGGGAATGTTGTGAACATGGGATATTGATACCCGTACATTGTTGCCATGTAAAGAGAGAGTAAAGTGACAATCGGCAGCAAAAGGAGCATCTTGAGAGACCGAACGATAGATATACGGAGAAGCTTCTTTGGGTCTTTGCCACTATCAAGAGAGGAACGAAGGGATCGGTTACCGGTCTCTTTTTTCAATCGTTGTGTTTTCTTCTTGAAATCGTGTAAGGATATGACTCTTGGAGGAGTACCAGAGTTCCAAGAAAAACGAGACCGGCCTAAATAATGCTACGTTAGTCCAGAGACTCGGGACGGCGCTGAGACACTTACAAGTATTGAAACCAGCCAGAAGTTCCATCGCCAACCTTTAGCCTGGCCAAGATATCCGGCGACTAATGGCTGTTGGACAGTGGCATTGCAATAGGGAACCTCGGTTGGTCTTACTTAGCGGACCAAACGCAGGCCCAAGTACTGGCCCCATGATCCATCCCATCATTGCAAGCCCTCTTTTATGCAGCGGGGCCGTATCGGCAATGGATCCGGCCCCAATCGTCATTGGAGCACTCCCAGAAAGCCCAGCGAGAAACCTAAATATAATAAGGGAGACGATGTTGTTGGAGAGTGCGCAAGCAATAGTCCATATGAGGAACCCGAAGTTGCAGATGTGGTAGATAATCGTGCGGCCGTATATCTCGGATAGGGGAGCGAGCAGCAGGGGCCCAAAGACGTAGCCGAGGAGGTAAACGGAGGTAATGAAAGCTTCTATTGTCGTGTTTGTGATACCAAATGTTGACATGATGTCTGAGCTCATTGGTGATGTGATGGTGGATCCAAGAGGTCTATCCAATGTCAGCCACTACCCCTTTGATGAGTTGGAAAATACGTACGATAGAAAAGCAAGAATCGAAATTGTTCCGATATTAGTAATTTTCTTTGCCGAAGACCAATTCATCGGGTTTTGAGGGTCTTCAGGTCTATCCCAATCGATAGTGTTGTGTGTATCTCCTCGATATGGCTCTGGGGCCGCATGTAGACGTTCGTTTTTATGGCCGGTATGCTCCTTGGCGCCTTCTTCTTGAAACATGAATCGCGTTATTGGGGCTTCATTGTTCATGAAGCATAATTCTGCTTCGCTTTCAGACTCTTTGGCAGTGCTCATCTTTGGAACTTACAGTGTTTCGCTGAACATTGTACACAGACAATGACGATCTTTTCAATGATAGTTGTAATATAATCCTACAAAGTAATTCATACTGACTCTGATAACTGAAATAAGACGACAGCAAAACTTGAAGTGAATTGATTTGGAGGTCTACTTAAATCCTTCGGAGAACAACATCTCGGAAACTCCGATGGATCCCGCGGGGCGCATGGCTAGCATCACCAAGATCGAATGATCGATATTAGTAATTGTTTCGACAATCATAAGATGAATTGAAACTAGCTCCATTACCCAACCAAGTATCCTTGTTTGAGAAGAAGGTGGGACGCTCTTCGTCGTCAGGGGAAATTAACGTATTGAACGTGGTTGGGCGGCCATGGGATCATCCCGCGGAGCTTCTTCATTGATCCTAATGCTACGGATGCCCTAGGAACATCCCACGATGGAGTATTGGGGCTCTTGAGTTATAAGTCGATCAAATTATATTGTGAATACACTAGAAGAATCGCCGAAGTACAATCGTAGGTCCCACCTCGTCGTATTCCTCATACAGGACACACATCTTCTGGAATGTTGATAAGGATGCAACCATGGATCCTCCTATCCACGATGCGTGGTTTCTCTCCGGTAATGCAACAACGTTAACCTTGGATGATGAAGGGGCGAGACCAGTCATTTCTGTGTGCATTCGGTCTTGAATACCTGGAAACAACGTCGATCCCCCAGCCTTGAAGTAGCCGAGTCAGCATTTTTCTTTCCAAACCGTGGGTGAATAGGACCAATGCTCACCAAAACAATGTTCTCATACAGCCTATCTTGGAGTGAGGTATCGGATTTCAATACAGCGCCTAAAGTTAGATGCTGTATCCCCATCTCGTTGTTCATCCCCATAAGATGAGGATGGAAGAGAGCTTCGGGGGTCATGAACCTCTCTCTTCCAACAGTAATAGACTTTCCGTCTACCAATTTGTAGCTTGTTTCTGTGAGTGTTCCCCCCTGAGCCAACTGCAATTCCCTTCTGAAATCTTGCGCAACATAGCAGTACTCTTCCTTGACTTTTCGGGCAAGCCTACGCTCCGATATTGTCCCCAGATTATTACCGCCCCGCGCAAGTCCTTCGAAGAAATGGTCCGTCAAATGTTGCCCACCAATATCCAGTCGTTGGATACCACGGCGTAGTGCAAACCCTTCATAGACGGGAACCGCATAAGTCGAGGCCGTGCCAGAATCAAGCACAACTCCTGTGCTGCTTCCAGATGGGTGTATAGCTAGGACACCTCGCATGGAAAGGTAGAGAGCAGGGACGTAGTACTGCTCAAATAGCAACGTCACCGTTTTCTCTCTGTTGTCTTTTGAGTTTGCATTTGGCTCAGCAAGGAGAAGAGGGTGGTCTTTTGCCTGGGATTTGAGCCTTTTTTCGTAAAGATAGTCCCAAATCCACTCTATATCAGTGAAGTTGGTGATGATTCCATCATCAACTGGATATCTTTGGTCAAATAAGGGGCGATGCTCCTCTGCCTCCTCCCCATAATAATGATCCACCAGGCTGATTCCCGGAAGTATACACATGCTTTTTAATCAAAAGAACAGCAATTAGTATGAAGTAACCCCGTACCTAATTTTTGAAGCTGAAAGCGGACGTGATGTCCATCTTCTGGGATTGATGAAAATGCAGTTGGGAACGTACTTGAGTGGGCGTCGGTGAGATATAAGTGTTGCTATTAGATAATAAGCCTGCGAAAACTCCCCTTACAGACTTAAAGAAAGAGATGACGGGTCGGTGCCGCCATGCTGTGGGTGTCTGGGGATTACTTACGGAAAACAGCCGTTGGCCTCCTTTCGCTCGCGAATCCCCCTTTAATGGTGTCCGTCCTGCCGATTTCACAATTCATGATCAGCGGGGGAAACGTCGCCTTGAAACAAATTCTTGATCACAATTAGTCTTGATATGTCCTGCATAAACATACCCAGTATCGATCACAATTGCCCTGGTATTGCCTAAGCACTCAAAATCACGCCCGTTAGCTCAATTCTCTGATATGAAATCCGAGGTGACTACCTTCCATGTTGATCTCGTGATTCGCCCAAGTGGTAAACTCAACTAATCATGAAATCACAGCATACATCCAGAGAATGAGGGCTGGGCCAGCTTGCCCATGGCACTCGACACGAATCCAGGACTAGGCATCCATTTATTTCTTGTAAGGCTACCTTCAGTGAGGCTGAATGCGGGGGATCGTATTTCGTCTTTGTAGCGCGTTGCCGAGCTGAGTCATGTGGCTGCTTCGTGCTAGCTATGCTCAATACAACTAATTTTTATCAGCATCGGAGCCAACAATGAAGGAAATTATCATACGAATTATACCAATGACAATAATAACTTAATTAAAAAACAACAAGGAAATTTTAAAGAAAGTGCTTTGCAGTCTAGTGAGTTATACCTCAACTCTTCTTAGCCTTATGAAATTTACCGGAGTAGAGTCAAGCTATCTAATGAAACTCCAACCATCTAGGTTGCAGTATTAATCTATATGTTTTTACAATTATGAGCCATCTCATCCGGCCTCGTCTAAATCCGAATCTATTAATTTTATATCGGTGGCCCTGTGGAGTAAGGCCCAAGTAAGCAGGAAAAGCCAGCGGAGAGTATTCGATAAGAGAAAAGCGTCGTTCCTTCGTGAAAGTTTGCCATCCGGCATGAGTCTCTAGGCTTCCTCAGGCTTGACTGGCTTCTTCTTCTCGAGTTTCCTCAAGTCGAACCAGCCCATGCCAAAGGAAACGGCGAAGGCTGCAACGGAAAAGCCCACCCAGAGATAGAAGACGTTTCCGAAACTCTCAGAGTAAGATCGCAAGATGCCGTCCATGGTTGCGCTGCCTGCAGGGGCTAGCTTCTGAACGGCCTCGGCGCTACCTCCAGCGGCAATGACGGCTTGCACGCCAACAGAAGGGGCTGCGATGGGGATCTTGGATTTGAGGCTTTCTTGGAAGATAGTGTTGGCGATGGTAATAGCAATGGCGCTACACATATTCTGGCAGAATACGAGGAAGGAACTGCCCACGGCGACTTGGGCAGGAGGTAGAGCGTTCTGGAGTGCCACGGTACCCTGTGATCAATGTTAGTGAGGGAAGCATGGATGGGTTCCATCGGCGGGATGCGCTTACAATTTGAATGCCTGCGCCCCGGAATCCATAAAGAATTTGAAAGCCGATCAAATGAGCAAGGGTGGTGCCAGGTGCCCAAGTTGAAATGAGGCCACATCCAATTGCTGTGCCACCGGCTGCGAACAGGGCCCAGGGAATGTAATATCCGAGTTTTGTCACTATGAAAAGGTTAGCAAATCAGAAAGAGGGTTGCCCAAAAGGGTCAAAGAGCGGAAATTCATACTCAGAGCTCCAGAGAAGAGAAGTAAAATAAGCTGGGAAATGATTCCTGCTAGCATATAAACAGCGCTCATCGTTGGCGACAGTCCTTTCACAGACTGGAAATAAATGGGCAGGAAGTTACTGGCTCCCACTGTAACACTCATCAGAAAGGCGAAGTTCAGCGAGCTTGTCCAGACTACTGTCTGGGACACTAGTTTCAACGGAATCATAGCCTCGTCGCCTACCCTCCATTCCCAAGCGATGAACAGCAGAGCCACTGCGCCTGCTCCACAGAAAAGTCCAATAACTGTGGGCGAGTTCCACCCGTACTCTCCGGAGCCGAACTGGAGGGCAAGAAGGAGCATGATGGATGCTGGAGTAAAGAGCGCAAATCCTGTCAAGTCAAATTTAGGTATGATCTTACGGATAAGACCAACGCTCACGCGCTCTTTTTCTATCTGGTCGGGGATGGCGATGACGGCGATGAAAAGCCCAACGAGGCCTCCCAGGGGAAGGTTGACATAAAAGCCTGCCTCAGAGTTAGAAATTATGTTCCCAAGTTTCAGTTATCAAGCATGTTGCGGGAACGAGTTTACTCACACCAACGCCAGCTAGCATGCTCAGTAAATAGACCACCAATGACCGGTCCGAGAACAATACCAATTTGGCCAACTACAGTTTGTCAGTCTCTGTTTCTTCGCTCTCCGGAGGTAAGGCACTTGTCACTTACTTCCCATGGCAACGGCCGTGTATACTTGAAGACGGCACATCACATGTTAGTTAATACTCTTTGCACGAAACGTGTTTGGCACACATACGAGGACGCTTTCGCGGAGCTATTGCCCCAACGATGACTGTCAGGAGACCATTGGTAAGGCCAGAACATCCTAAACCAGCAATTGCACGGCCGATAATCAGCATGGTCGAGGAGGTTGCGGCTCCGCAGATGGCAGAGCCAATCTCAAAGAGGAGGAAAAAGGCAAGCAACGTCCACTAGAGGTGAAGTGTTAGCTCCCGATGTAGCATTTAGAGGCAGAATATACTTGCCTTGGTGCTGAAGTAGGTATAAAACTTTCCGGTGAGAGGCTGTACAGTAGCGCTGGCAAGTTGATATGCACTGACATACCAGCCTACATCCTGGAGTCGCTTAAAGTCGCTGGTGATTTGGGGGATTGCCTAGACAGCACAGAGTCAGAAAGTGTGAATCTTTTGTTACTCCGACGGAGCAGGCTGTTGACTTACGGTGCCGAGAATTGAAATGTCCAACATGACCAAAAACATCAGGACGGTCAAGCCCGACATGACGATGAAGAGCTTGATCCCCTCAAGATAGTTGGTCTCATGTTCGGTGGTCTCTGTTTTTTCCTCTTTGGGTGCCTTCTCCTCCGATATCGACTCTTGGGCTGTGCTGCCGTTCATGTCGTCCAGGTCTGAAACCTGCAGCTTGTTGTCGGCCAACAAGAACGCGGCTTTGCTTGGCGCCATTGTCGACGTTGTGGTTCGCTCCCGCTCGATCAGGCTGTGAAGTTCTGCAATTGTATGTATCGGCGCTGCTGTGGTGAGGAAAACACGATGTTGAGAGCAGATCCAGTATTTGAGATCTGGGATCTGAAATGCTTATTGAGCAGTAGTTTTTTTTCCCCCAATGCATAGAAGGGGGGAATGCTCAATTTGACTCAATATGAGAATCCCAATGCGGACTTGTTCAGTGGTGCGCTTCAGCGGACTTCCAGCGGAGAGTGGCCGCCGGACGTGCGAATCCCGGAGCCAACCCCGGCCAGTAAGCCCCGTATCTCGAATTCCAGGCAACGGCAGCGACCCGGAAAGTCCCTAAACAGCATAGCCCGACAATAATCGTAGCGCTATGCATTAGTGATTGGTCACGCTGAGTCGAGATGGTCCAATTTCGACAATCCCGAGCTCGCCAATCCCGCCGTCGGCACGTTGACTCCGGACTCGTCAGCGCAATGAAACCCAACATGGAACAACATGGAATTAATTAATCAAGGGTAGCAACCGCATGACTAGCAACCGCATGACAACACCACACAACCCTGATCGACATAGTACAAATACAGGTGCACGCATTAGGTCGTTGCCTGCTACCTACGAAGGAAGACCGGCGGCATTCCGTTCTCCAATGTCGTGACAGCGCCTTAGATTACTCACTCAGCAGCGATCTCCTTGAAACCAAATATCTTATTTCCGTGCAACGGAATTCGATCGAGACTCCACAATGGGTAAATTGTGGCATGGATCGCGAATGTTTAGTAAATGAACATGCAGTTGTGACCTACCTTACCCTACACGTTAAGGGGCTTCTCCGGCTTCTTGTCCCATCACTTTAGGCTTCCAAATAATCTCTAGAAATTGAATACGTCGGATCTCATTACCTACGACATCCTCACACAGCCAACTAGATGATTGTCTAATTTTATACTTATTTCCATCGTGTCGGAACAGCTTTGCTACATGGACTATAAACAACACAGATAACAATTACAGGGTCGACAGGTACGGGACTAGATCAAAACAGAATTGAGAGAGCATATGTGTTATTAATTGACGCCGGTACATCCTTCTATGGGGCAAAGGGCGCCTATCTGGTTACCTTAATAATTACACAGGAGAAGTGGCCGGGTTTCCATTGAACCAGGGCGTAAGCATCCCCAACACAGGCAGCCTTCTATCAGTTGCTGAGATGGTGCCTTTCTTATACTTGGGCAGTCTCTCTTTTCTCCTAGCCATAATTGTCTTATATCCTCCTTTCTCCAGGTGGCCGGTCCAAGCCAATGTTAGCCAGGCAGAAAAACATTCCGCGAGAAAGATGCATATGATCTTGCCACCCGTACTGAACTGCTTAGAACATTACGTTCAGTGCGGATGGAACAGGTTTTCTAAAAAAGGCTACCTTTCGCAAACTGTTTGTTTTCAACATTTCATACAGAATATTTATTCGCCACCCCATATGCCATCAACACATGTTGTATGTTCCCCTACAGGGTATAATTTAGGACCGAGTTGGTCAGTCCCGGCAAGTTTTAGATGGCAAAGCAGCCCCCACGCCAGCACCCACCAAATCGAATGTTTGACATCTATGTGTTTAATATGTATAGTGATATATTATTTAGTTGAGAATCTGATATTATATGAGGTTACGAGCTTCCCGTCTGGCAGTTAGGGCGTGAGCTACCGAGGTGGATCCCTGCCAGCTGTGAATGACAGTGATAGCCTGATAGGACTCCTACCTGATGGTGCATAGCTGCAGTATTCATCCACGTGGAAGTAGATATAGGCATGTGGGTGGCTGAATCACTGCGTCTACCCCTAGATTCATCCTCCTTTCCAACAAGTTCGGATGAATATCTAAGAAGGAAGGAAAAATGTTTCTTAGATAGGCCTCTTGAGCCGAATACTGAAATAGGATACCTCCGCGAGACCGACAAGGCAGTTTTCCGTCGACGTGTGGGGGCTGAAGAATGTGGAAGCCACCGAGAGGCCGGCTCACGGCATCTAAATCGGACCCGTGGCTGAGGTGGATGTTTAAAGGGTCCTAAGCTTGATGTAAGCGTTGGTTGTGCTAGATGCCAGTGGGCTGCCCGATCGAAAAGCTTGGCGACGAGGGTTAGCCAGACACTTCCAGTCCTCCCATGTGGAAATGAACCTGGCCAGGTCCCTTAGTGACACACTCGGCATTGTATGTTTTGAGCCCAGCTGCCGAAAGTGTATGGAGCAGTAGGGCTGTGGCTGCCCGTAGAGGGAAAAGCGTTGCGATTTGCCGGCCAGCACGGTGTGGCGGCCGCTGGGATAAGGGTAGGGCATATATTAATAGTCGGTATTTGGAAGGTTCACGCGGAGACTTTTGATCACCGGGAGGCCTTCCATCTGTTTGCGTCCCGTCTTTCATAGATTAAGGCTATTTAGGTAACTCGTCGAGACGTGCCGCGTGAGTGCGCTAGCCGCAGAGGTGGTCCTCGCACTCGGATCCAACCATATTCGAGGACATCTGCGCTCATAGGGCTGACCACTAGTGTTAAAAGAGTGTCGGCGTATACCCTAGAAAAGAAATTTCAAAGGAAGAACTTTATCTTGTCTGCCTAGGGTCGCGCAAGTAGCGCCTTGCCGTTGGCTGGGTTCCGGGGATGACTGCATATTGATTCGCGTGAAAAGGACCTGCTTCTGATTCTGATTGATCAGACTGCATATAGAGCTTACAGATATCACACAACAGAGTAGGTTTAAAAAGACCAAAGCAACCTCATTCACTTGGTCTTAGCCGTCGATATGATCGGCACCAGGGGCCATACCGCAATTCGATTCTGAGGGTCTCCTGTATCAACAAACAACAGTCATGAAAGACGCGTGTGTGGGTTTGGGAGACAACATTTCACGTTCAGACACTACCGTCGGAGCGTGCCGCACCCTGGTCAGTTTTATGCGGCATCTTTCCTAGAGGAGTAAAAGTTTACCGAGTTACTATGGACCCTGGCCAAATGGAGTTTAACTCCCATGGCCTTGCTTAGACGTATGGCCATCTCCCGTCAAGCTGGTTTACTGATTGGCCTTGACAAGGATGAGAGTGGTTCAGGGGAGGCGGAGTTAGAGGGGCGTCTGAGGGCCTACTTGGTTATTACCCCATATCCGGTCCCTCATGCTCTACCTACATACGTACGCACCTGCTTTCGAGCTCGACAAAGTACTCAGCCGCCAAGCCTGGATTGGCCAAGGGTGTCGGAGGTCCCAGCTTTCCCCCGCTACCTCTTTCAGCCTTGCCTTATTACCATCTACCTGGGTTATTGTCACTGGCGTGCCTCGGCGTTCTTCTCCTCCTCACAATGATTCCTCTCCTCTACCGAGCCCGCTTGCCGATCTGCCCGATTTAGACAAGCTAGCCCTATGAGGTACCCTTCCCGGGCTGGCCCTGGAATGGGGCCATACCCTTGCTTTCTGTCTGATCTCTTAAATAAAGACCAGCCCTGCCAGCCACTATTTCCTCTCTCGACTTCTTCAAGTGCCTATATCAACCTCTTTTCCCTGCGTAACTGGTCTTTCTGGAATCGTTGAACTTTTGTCAGTCGTTACTACCAATCACCTTTTCCCGCCTAGCTTTGCCTAAGTCACAGGTGACGAAAAAGAAGAACCTTTCCCGGGTAACCCCATCCTCTTTCTCTTCGTTCTCACAATCCCAGCGAAAAAGACAATGGTCAACTTGGGACCATCTAAAGGCTGCCGTACTTGCAAGGAGCGGCGGGTCAAGTGTGATGAGGGCAAGCCGGCTTGCCAGCGTTGCCTGCGTCTCGGTCGAGAGTGCGGTGGCTACCAGAAGAAGGTAGCGCTCCTCAAGTTCAAAGAGCAAAAGATCAACTATGGCCCTGTCACATTACAGCGTCGATCGTCTCCCAGTTCCAGTTCAACCTCGAGTTCAACTCCTTCAAAGCAACGACAGCCACGGCAGCAAAACCAACACCCAAATCTGACTGTATCACACTCGAGAAGCGGGCGCAGAACGCCCATGTCTTCGTCTCCATCGCCTGTACCGTCTGACGATGACATGGCGGTGTCATTCTTTCTTCGCCATTTCTGTGTCTCCAACCCGCGAAATCTCTATATCGGAGGCTTTTGTGATACGTTACCGTCGGTGTTGGCATTGGAACGGCGGGATTCGCCGTTATATGCTGCTGTTGTCTCCGTTTCTTCCTGGGTGCTAACCTTCTGGAAGGACGGTCTGTCAAATAGAAAGCCCCACGAATGGCACGTACGGGCCATTGAATGGCTTCGAACTGCTATACGCGACCCTCGAGAGAGCCAAAGACAATCCACTATATTGGCTGCCTTCGTCCTCCAACTCTACGACGATTTGTCGGCTCTCGGATGGCTCCGTGAAGCTCCCCGTCTACATTACGATGGTGCAGTGGCTCTTCTGAAGCGTCAATCTACCGAGGTGCTATCTTCGCCATATTGGAACCGCATGACAAGCCATGTACTTCATGTGGAGGTAGCCTCAGCTATCCAGGAGAAGCGACATTTCCCCTTGTCCGAATTCTCCTGGATACAGCTGGACCTCATGCCCCTCAACTCCAATACGGGGCTTGATATCATTGGTATTACAATTGCCGACTTACAGTCGAGATTCCTTGCTCTAATGGAACAAAACGATGCTTCTCCAATCGCGGAGCAGGATCTTGACAATCTTCTGCTGGATATGGAAGATGCCGAGGCCCAGCTCCTAGACTGGCAAAGCAACGTTCCAGACCACTGGCATCCATCCTATTCACAACAAGTCAAGCTCGCCGAGCCACCCATAACGTCGTATGGGGGTGACTGCGACATATACCCCTCTCTTCAAATAGCTGCCACTTGGAACGACTGGCGAAACTACCGCATTCTCCTCTTCGAAATGACCATTGGAATCCTCGACCGAGTGCCCCCGACGGCTTTCTCCTACTTCGACGTCAATAAACGAGCTAAGATGGAAGCCTACGCCCGTTCGAGCACACAAGATATGGTAGACTCTCTATGTCGCAGCATCCCCTTCCATTTGGGCAACCGCTTCTTCAGTGGGTGTTTGGATGATTTGAATGATCCTAGCATCGTCGTCCCCAGTTATTATGACCTCGAATTCTGCTCTGACAATCTGTTTAAGGCGACATCTGAAGAAAATCTAGCCATTGCAGAAGCATACCGCCGCCATGTCATTGGACTTGGGCCATGGCACATATCTGTACCGTTATGCAACCTGATAAGAATGATCTCTGAGCCATTCGGATCGTTTATTGCGAGATCCCTCAGGCCTGGACAACTCGATTTCGTCCGTGAAGAGCTCATCAGAGCATCAATGATTCTACAGATTGAGGCCCCCGAGTTAGAGAATGCCAAGAAATGGGCAAGGGGGATGCCGGTCGAGCATTTTCATACTGATCCGCTCGACTTGGATGCTGTGGTGGCGAAGATGAGCAATTGCCTCTGCATTTCAAGCGGGCTTTAAGTGATGACTGGTATAGAATTTTGCTGTTATTTTTTATCTGTCTTTCCCTTTGATTTTATTTAGAATGAATGGAACACGGAAAGCAAGCGAATATTGGATTTATAATAGACAAATGGTCTCTGGACCGAGCATTTTTGCTCCAAAGGATTTTTTCAGCGGTTCGTTTCCGTCGATCACTTTGAAAAGCTTGTAACTAGTAGTGGAACACATACCAGTTCCATTCATGGCCTTGTCATTTCGACATGGCATCCCCTAAGGCATTCTCGTCATAGCTGAAGGCTGAATATACGTACTGAAGGTCCCTAAAATAACCGCCCCGGTCCTAACGATGCACCATCCCCGATGAAAGTGGAAAAAGGAACCTTGATGGCAAACGGACTAAGCTCAAAGTGGCCTACGGTGCGAGAGAGAATCCCGTAGATGAGTGTGTAGTGGGAAGCTCATCCCATAGGTTAAGAGCCCTCGGGGATATGACCCTTCTCCACGTGTATTTCGGATATACTAGAGGGGCGTTCCCCTTCCACCCCCATGTTTCCCGTACTTGCGGTTCATGGTAACGTCACAACGGGATATAAGGTGTGGCTTTCAATGATGGCCATGTGCCTTTAGAAAGAGAACTCTAGAAGGCTTTGGAATTAATCTTGAAGTTGAATACCTCCAGACTCGGGCTAAAGGATTGTAAATGCCGACGGAATTTGAAAATTAAAACCCCGAGAGAAATTGCCGAGACCTGTCATGTTAATTGAGATAAGCCAATGTCAATATTATACTGGCTATGAACTTCGATTACCTAGAACCGCTAGAATTAGCCCTCTATCATCTTATGGCTACTTTGATGAGAAGCAAATGTTTCTCAAAAATATCCTCATGTTCGAGATTGGCACATTGGAAAATGCGTGATCTCCTTTTGCAACCATCAACATAAAGATTGCTCACCTACAGGTCCAATGAGATTCACATGCAGGTGTCGGCCGCCCCCTTCAATCACATTGGAGGAGGGAATTTTAACAACTCTCCAGCTTCAGGCTACTCTTTCAATTTCCCTTGATCACCATTCTTTCTAAAGTCAGAAGCTACTCTATGCCATCTTAGATCTGAGCTTAAGTGAAAACGACCCGAATTAAGAATAATTGTAGCAGCTCCAAGAACTACAGAGGGGCAAACATGAGGCCCGCCGTGGCTGCACGACCCGCGTTTCAGTGGAGAGACCCTTGACCGCAACTACAAGCCGCAGAAGTTCTTTTGCACTGCATACTCAAATGAATCACTAGAATAGTAGTGATCGATTCTTCCGGCCACGAAATCTCTCGGTAGTCCTTGGCTTTCTCCAAGCCCCGGTCTTGAGGACGGCTTCGACACATCCTAGTCCCCAAGGCTTTCTCACTCCCCCCACCTCCGGTTGACTATCAGTCCATATCTAGCTGCGCATGATATTTAGTACTTTCGATTCGGCGGTAATAGGCATCTTCACCCACCTGGTTTCTGCAACTACCACCTACAGCCATACCGGGTGTGGGCGTGAGACGAACACACGAGATGCCTAAAAGCGTAGCAAGCCCGGCCGGCTGCACGGGAAATAATGCCTTTTCTCCCACCCCTCTCCCAAGGCAATCGGTCACCCCGGCCAGCTTTGCTCCCGCGCCTCGCACGCGGCTTCAGCCCAGCATGATGTATGCTTTTAAGCGTGTGAAAGATTCCGCGTAGGCGCGCTGTCAGGCGAGACTTGGGGTACTTTGACAGCTACAAATCTCCAGGGCTTGCCCCTGAGCCGAGGGATCTTGCGCCAGGGGAGAGTTGCTGGGGTCGTCGGATGTGGTGGGCTGTCCGAGGCCCCAGTAGGTACTCCGTACTGTTCCCTTTTTTTTTTTTTTTTTTTTTNTTTTGGCGAATATTCACTCTCCGACAGTGGCACATTGTTGGCCGATGACTGGCCTGGAGTTCTTTGCATGTCTAAACCATGCAGTGAGAATAATGGACGCGTAGCTTAGAGGGCGTCCTCATCCTGTTAGCCCTGAGCCAGGAGTAAACCGGATGTTGGACAACTAGGTAAATCAAGCTTTGGGTATGCAACGATATCAGCCCTATGGATAACGTTAGCTATGAAAGTTTTATGAGTTCTCTTACTGCCTGTGAATCATCGAGTCTTTGATTTCCTTTGGATGCCATTTGGTTGGCTATTCGAGTCGCTCGAGCTCTTGAAATCTGAGAGCTTTTGGGTTACTTTCCCAGTCGTCTTCTACCCTCGGCTTTGAGATACAGGGGCTGATCTTGATTGGTGATAGGTGAATTACTGTCAAGTACTTGAATCTGGTCCGAAGAACGGCAATTCCTTGATAAGGAGAACGTGGGGATCTTCTAGACAAGGCAAAGCAGAATCGCCTTTTACAAGCCCGTGAAAACTCAGAACTGACAGACCTTCATGTGTTATACGGAACAGAAGGCCTCAAGAAACTTACTATGAATACTTGTGATGTAAAAGTTGCAATCACGCAGTTGGAGGCAAAATTACCCATACAAAAAAAACACCTTTAGGTGCGCTACATGCTGGTTCAATATGTACGACAATGCTCTGAAATTCCGTCTAGATATATCGGATATATATGGCCACATGAATGTCATCGTGAAGTGGTGTGAATTAGTGTGAAGTATATTATGAGTTTAATTCAGTCGAGGAGGCTCGGGGAGCTGTTTGGGTTAGCTTGGTAGTGCAAACTTGACGGGACACATCAAAAATTTATAGTCGCATGCAGTTTTCACAATTTCAAGGCTGGGCCTTCTAGTTTTGAACTTGAGATGCGCGCTGAGTTAACCATTGTACCTCGATGTTCACAGTCGCGTTTCAGAATCTCACGGCGTCACATGATGCAGTTAACTGCCTAATTTGGGCCTGATGTAACGAGCGAGGTTTCTCCTCATATGCAAACCTTTTGGCTCCTTCTTTTCAACTCCATGTCACTCAATTGCAAACTACTTCTCTAGAATAACGCTGTCTTGTGACCGATATGACAGAATTGCTGGATCTACCAAGCGAGGTGCTCTCTCGAATCGCCAGCCGCCTGAGCGATGCGGATCACAAATCGCTGTTCAGTCTGATTTATGTGAACAAACGCCTGAATATCATTGCTACCCCCTTTCTAGTCCGGCGCTGGCCTCCAGTGGGGGGAGAATATGTCCTCGACAACCCTCCCAGATTTGATCGCTTCGCATTGCACCTATTGCGCAACCCGAGTCTTCGACGATACATCAGGCTCCTGGACGTGGAGGACTTTGGTACGCGTCAAGATAGTCATGACGAACTAGCCATCAGTCAGGATGAGGTGCAGCAGATGGCGACTGCGGGCGTCCGGGACTGGCCCGCACTTGCGGAGCTCCGGGGAATGTGGGTGCAAATGTCGGAGGGTATAGACGATGCTTTCATGGTGCTGATCCTCTTGTGGGCGAGTCATTTGGTGGAGTTCGACTTCACTGTGCCTCTTATCGGGTCATTAAGTCAAGATGACGAAGAACAGTTGACCTTATGTTTCGTTAGCCAAGTTGCCCGAAGGTTACGCGACAGCCCTGAGGACGCCATCCTGGATCGCTTCCCCCTCGCCAGATTGCAGTACGTCCAATACAAGCATTGGGACACGGAATTTGGTGTGCAGGGCCAGTTTGCGGCGCCATTCTTCTATCTACCCAACCTACGGACATTTTTCGGGTACAGGATTGAGATGAGTCGTCCATGTAGCGAAGAAAGCGATAAAGATGACGACGATATCCAAAGCGCATATCTTACCGAGTTTCCCGTTGGGACTTCGACTGTCGAGGAGATTATTCTCAATTGTTCCGACATGTGCTTGGAGGCGCTGGAAACTTTCATTCGGGCGTGTCGCAGGCTGAGGACTTTTGCCCTGGATTATGGGAGTGTTTTAGATACCCGAGAGGTTGATTCCAGTCGACTGGCCGAGCTTCTTGTTGCCCGGGCGGATTCTCTTCAGAATCTTGCGCTTGACTGGGGCGATTCCCCAACCTTGGAAATCACGGCTCAAGGTCCGCTAAAGATTGAACAATGCTTCCGTCAACTCCACCGCCTCGAGTATCTCGAACTTCCACTATACATGCTGTGCGAAGACGGCGAGATCGATGGGCAGACTTTCATCTCACTTAATTCTCAGCTACTTCCAAAATCACTGAGATGCTTGTGCTTAGTGGGAGGCGCGTATTGGAAATTCGATAGCAAAGTAGGGATAAACAAAATGGTAGATAGTATCGAGGCATTCATACTCAAGTGTGGTCCAGGGGGTGAATTTCCGCACATGGAGGCGTTGGAGCTGATCTATCTCACAGATCGCTCCCATCAGGATAACTATACGCAACGCTTAGAGAAGACGGGTCACAAAAAGAATGTAAGACTAGTATCCAATGAATTTAAGTGGCGAACATGGCCTAAATATGGTTGAGCAAGTTAGTTATTCATATAGGAAACCCAATGGGCAGACTGAGGAATTTATCCATTCTTGAACGCTTAAAGTTGATCTTCAACATAAGAAATTATCAATAGATTTCACCAACAATGGAATATTTTGCGCATACGAGATATTGCTCAAGGCTTAAGTTAAATCTAGATGATCACGGTTGGTCTGTCTGCTAGAGGAGCTCCCTAGATCTTCGAACCCGACTTTTCATTCCGAGGTACCCTCATAAAACACTGTTGCGTCATGGATGCTAGCAATTTGCCCTGCTCGTCAAACAATCGTCCCTCTGCATATGTTCGTCCACTCCCACTGTGATGAACAACTCGCTCTCTCAGGTTCCAGTCGCCCATCTTCACCTGCGGCGCGAAGATTCTCAGCGCAAAGTCAAGAGATCCGCATGGACCCGCAGCATCTACCCAAAGATGATTATGTGTCAGTGCTAGGAAAGCCAGAGTCCCGTCCATGATGAATGCCAAGGCTGCTATATTTTCGGCCTGCGAAGTGAATGTTCCGCGTGCTCGTAACCACTCAGCTGAGACCCTCGAGGTAACAGGGATGGTGTCCTGGGTGGTTGGTAGCACTCCAGCGATACCGGTGAGGTTTTGAGCTGCCATGCCACCAGTGCAAAGTCTCGTCTCAAAGTAGTCTCTGTCTTCATCGAAGGACTTTCGAAATTCTTCCATCTGCGCCTCATTGACCTCCCCTCTATCCAGCATTCCTTGCGCATACTCATGACGGTCTGGGCAATCCCGTGGCTTGGGCCATGCCATAATAGGCCGGGCAGAGAACTCTAGCAAGGATGGCTCAGAAGCGTGAAAGTCGGCAATGAGTTCCAAGCAAGTTCGAAAAGTGCCGTCGGTCTGCTCCTGGCTCACGTCTACACGGCGAGTGGCAAACGTCCTTGTTGTCCTTGTATCATGGACTTTGCAGTACAGCTTGTGCTCTTTTAGTGCTGGACCGAGGAAGTGGCCGAGGATAGAATATGCTGAGAAGCCAGGAGGAACAGTCTGACTTGCAGCGTTAAAAGCAACCCCGATCGTATTACCTCCGTATGTTGCTCGTAGATTCCCAAACCGAACAGGTGTAGATTTGGACACGAATCTACCATCCTGCAAGAGTTCTACACTAATTTGCTCGGTGATGGGCATAATGATGGCGACAGCTCTGAGACGTTGGTTTCGTTAACCCTCATATATATCAAAGAAACGGTCTAATGCGAAAGATTGAGAGCTAAATTGCGTACCTCTTGGAACATAAGAATGCTTTGAATCAAACGTACGATCGACCCAGGAGCCGAGGCAAGAAGTGGGGGAGAACCGTGGTCGCATTGATGAGCCAGGGGCTGATTCGCCCTACTTGCACAGCCGGGATCAAGACTCCCTACCCATCAGTCTTCGCCCTTGCCAGGGGTTAATACGAATTTGAACCAAGTATTTCTCTATCATGATATGTCAAAACTTTTCGGTGAACCTTCTTCCGTATTCTTCAAAGGAGTGCCCAGGGGTGGACTTTAAGACCTGGTGTACACGGCTCAAAGCAATAAGCTAAGTACTCTTATTTTTTCTTTATAAAAAAAAAAAAAAAAAAAAAGCTACGCCCCAAGAGCACGAACCCTTTTTGAGACAACTGCATCGCATTTCACGTGCTTAGTTGATTCTACATCGTCCTGGAACTCGATTCGCTTGGACACACAACCCAGACTCCCCCGGGAGCGAAAAATTAGAACAAAGTTTTTTTTATTGGCGAACGTTCACAAGGTTCAAAAACTCTTCGCTTAACCTAGCCTCATGCTGAAAGCAACCCTTCATGCAGCGAGTTAAGGTTGTGCTGCTGGTCTTCTCGACGCCTCGAATGACCATACACATATGGCTGGATTCCATAACCACAGCGACACCCTGAGGTTTCAAAATATCCATAATGGCTTGAGCAACTTCTTCGGTAAGGCGCTCCTGAATCTGTAGGCGACGAGAGTAAATTTCAGCGATTCGTGCGATTTTGGATAAACCGATGACCATTTTGGAGGGGATATATCCAATATGCATCTAGGAATATAATTTTTAGTCATGGCTCTTTTTGCTGATATTGAATGGTAAAATTACCTTTCCAATAAAGGGAACTAGGTGGTGTTCGCAAAGACTGGAGATATCAATGTTTTTGACAACGATCATCTGGTCATGGCCTCCATGGAAGAGTGCACCATTGACAACCTCCTTCACATTTGACTGATAACCCTTGGTCAAAAATAATAGGGCCTTGGCATATCTTGAAGGTGTGTCCTTCAAACCTTCGCGCTCAGTATCCTCACCTATGCACTCAAGCAAAGTTCGAACAGCACTTTCCATTTTTGCAAGACGTACAGCGACTTCTCCTCTTTGAGCTCCTTTGGTAGACTCAGCTAAATGTACAACAGTCAGTCACTTAAAAAATACTAACTAATTCACAAAGATAGTAGTTGACTCATACAACCTATGCCATCAATACTTAGTATGGGGCTGCGTGACCTGGCACGCGTGCGTTGTCGAGCGCCCTGCTTGAGGTGGGCTTTAACCCAAACATTTCTAATGACCCGGCTCCCAAATCTTTTATGGTATCGGCGATTTATAGGTAATGACTTGTTGTTTACTAGGCAAGGGGTGCTGAAGTCATTGTAGGATCTCTTCCTAGGAGAGGTTTTACGCCATCTTAGAATAGCCATTGGTGTAGAATAGATCGGTTTGCGACTGTATATGTATAGATGCAAGATGCAGAACGTATGGGAATAGAAGGTTCAACTTCACAAAGTCAAACGGCGACTTTAGCCTGCTTATAAATGTAGCACCATTACAAGAAGCGCTCTATTTTAAGATTGGAACTACAGAAAAGACAAGTAAACTGAGCATTATATCAGCGACTGAAACGGCCAGAGGCGTGAATCTACCTGCTCAGTCTTCTCCAAAGCTCAGCGAATCGCATGCCTGGGGGATGTCCTTCTGCGGGAGGCCGTCCATAAGTTAAGTCAAACGCCAATGAGATTCTTGAATCGACTATCATTCATGTGCACTTCGGTGTCATGCAAAGTTGTTGCCTAATACTCGGTTCCACGACTTCGAGATGGTCTAGATGTGACCCAAAAGTTCTCGGATAATATGATTTGATTGTTGAATCCACATGCTGTCATCCGATTCGAAGAGAGTTGCATTATGGTATTACACATATGTGCTTATCCGGACACATTTTCTTCATCGGGTGGCATTAATGTTTCATTTCCGGGCTCGGTAAGATAATAAGCGCATCAGGCTATGCAGGAGGCCAACCTCCTCGACCTGATCCAGTAGGCAGACACTCACCGGCTATCGATAGATTCCGTACTTCCCACGTGCTCTTCTACGTGGTCTTAATTAATTGGACAATACTTAGAAAACTTTCCGTGGATTGACCATAGCCGCATATTGGGCTAGAAAGACCAACCCGGTGTTGAGCTTTAATAATCTGCATGGGCTAATCGACTCCGAAGCATAATAGGGCCTAATATTAAAAAGAGAAGAAATCAAAAGAAAAAGATATATAAGACTTCACAAACCATTCCATTCCGATTCATCAATCCGCAATCGCAAGCTAGTTCAAAAGTTGCCACACGTTTTCAATACCGCGCAGATTTGTGTCATTCAACCTTCATCATATACCTCTATCTATCAAAACGCAATCATGGCGTCTCTTCAGACCTTGAAGCTGGCTCTGAGGCAGGAAGCCCAGGCCATGATGTCCCCAGCGCAGCCTCTGTCCAATGCTCAATACAGAGATGGGTTCGACATCATAAGACGGTGCTCGGATAAGTCAATATACGAGGACTTCATCATCCCGCAACTAGAACTCCTCTTGAATAGTTTCCTCAAATCTCGCAGCACTATTTCAGTGCTTGAAATCGGACCCGGTCCGGAAAGCATACTTGGAGATCTATCTGAACATGTTAGGCAAAAGATCAGAAAATATGTTGCATTGGAGCCCAACACACTATTTTTCCAATTACTGAAACAGTGGTTGGCTTCGCGCCCATTTCCTTCTTTAGAAAGCCCACCCAATGTTCGAGAAGTTCCGTTCACTCTAGATGATGGAAATGCTGGAGATAGCGGCATTGGTGCGAGCCATTTTGATGAGAAATTCGACATCATTCTTTTTTGCCACAGCATGTACGGCATGAAGTTCAAGGACAAAGTTCTAAAACAGGCCAGAGACATGCTGGTTGAGCGACCAGAGAGTGGGATGATTGTGGTATTTCATCGTGACGGAGTCCTGCAGCTTGACGACTTAGTGTGTCATAAGACGGTCTCATTCCCTACCGGAGTCAGCCGCATACCAAATGTCCCCGAGATACTGGACTGTTTCACACCCCTCATTGCGGGTTTCGTCATGCAGGACGTCAATGTAGATGAAGCCATGCGGCTCAAGTGGCGCGAAGTGTGCTATGCGCTGGCTCGTCGCGAGCAAGGCGATCCAGAGTATCTGTTGTTTAGCTCGCCCAACATCATGGTGACCTTTACCCGAGATGCGACTATGCTACCAGCCCTAACGGAACTGGTACCACTGAGTGATGGGCAGAGGATTGTTAAAAACAGAGAGGCTTATTCTCGCCATCCCGTCCCTGTTGTTGTGCCAAAGGATGTTCAACAAATCCAAACTTGCGTCCAATGGGCTTTGGCCTACAAGGTCGGCTTGACCGTGGTGGGTGGGGGCCATAGCGGGCATTGCCTGTGGCCAAATGTTGTATCGGTTGATATGGCTGCCTTTAATCAAGTACACATTGTCTCTTCCGACGACAAGATAGGGGACCCCGGGTCTGATCACGGTCCATGGGTCCTCGCGGGAGCTGGCTGCAACACTGGTGATATCATCCGCAAGGCCGCATCAGCAGGTTTGACTGTACCACTGGGCTCCCGGCCGAGTGTTGGTGCGGGACTCTGGCTGCAAGGCGGCTTCGGTCACATGGCTCGATCACACGGGCTGGCGTGCGACGCAATTGTAGGTGCTATCTTGGTCACCGTTGACGACGGAAGGATTATTCATGTTGGTCATGTACCCAGCCAGCATCGGCCAGCCGGTTCTATACGCCCTGAAAACGAAGATGATTTGTTATGGGCAATCAAAGGTGCCGGAACAAACTTTGGCATCGTGGTCAGCGTCACTTTCAGGGCCTCTGCTGCTCTGAGCTATTCAGTCCGGAACTGGATTTTCTCACTTGATGATGAGCTCCAGGCACAGCATAGGCTTGGCCATCTAGACCAAGTAGCCACAAAGCTCGCCCGAAACTGTTCCGTAGATGGGTATTTGTTTTGGGATAAAGATCGGCTTTGTCTCGGGGTGACAGTATTCGAATCCGCAACGACCGAGCACACTTTGGAAACATCCGAGAATGCATATGCAATTCTTGGAAGCGAACATCACCGCCAAGTTGTCGATGGCGTTGGTCTGTTTGACACCGAGATGTACATATCCTTGATGCACGGCGGGCACAGCGGTGGCAAGACTTCCTCATTCAAGCGATGCATATTCTTGAAGCATATTGGGACTCCAGATGTCCGCAATATCCTGGTGTCAGCTCTACAATCTCGGCCCTCTAGGCTTTGCTACCTTCATCTACTCCAAGGTGGCGGGGCGATCGATGACCTGATGGGCCAGGACTCTGCTTTCGGCTGTCGAGACTGGGACTTTGCTTGCGTGATAACTGGTGTCTGGCCTCGCAATCAGGACGGAACTACTACAGCTCAGGAGGCCATGCAATGGGTTTACAAAATTGCTATGGACTTGTTACCTCTAAGCAACGGAGCATACGGTGCAGACCTTGGGCCGGACCCTCGAGATGCGCCACTGGCTAGAGCTGCCTTTGGATCAAATCAGCCGCGTCTTTCCCGCCTTAAATCTCTTTTGGACCCGTATAACGTTTTAGCTTACGCATGTCCGCTTCAAATATCCACGAGACCGAAGCTCATCATTCTCGTCACAGGCAAAAGCGGTGCCGGCAAAGACTACTGTGCAACGTCCTGGGCTTCTCTCCTCAATGCTCGGAGACTCGAGGCACGTGCAGTAAGCATCAGCCAGGTGACGAAACAACAATATGCAGCGGCTACTGGTGCCGATCTGAAGCGTCTGCTTTGCGATCGTGGTTATAAGGAGCAGCATCGACCAGCATTGACACAGTTTTTCCATGAGCAGGTGCGGAAAAGACCTCAACTTCCAGAGGATCAATTTGTAAGAGTGGTGCGTAATGCTGCAGATGTGGATGTACTGTTCGTCACGGGTATGAGAGACGAGGCACCAGTTGCGACCTTTTCGCAACTAGTACCAAACAGCAAACTCCTCGAGGTGCGTGTCCAGACTAAGGAAGATACAAGACGAGCTCGTCGAGAATGTCGAGACAACAATGAGGTCGACTGTGGTAATTGGATTCCTGGTGAGATTCGTGATGGTGAATCCAACTCGACAGTTCCAGGTTACCGACCTGATTTCGTCATGAACAATGACGTAACTGGAAACGAAGCAATAAGCAAATTTGCCCACGATCAAATCTTTCCATTCTTGGACAAGGATCTGGATCGCCTTTCCGACATGGTACGGTCGATATCCAACTTTCCACGACCCGGCATCAAGTTCCGTGACATACTGGGCATCTCTCAACAACGAGACGGGCTCTCCTTATGTACATCTCTACTAGAAACTCATTTTTCAGGTGACTGGACCCGGGTTGAAGCGATAGTTTGTTGTGAAGCCGGTGGCTTTGTATTTGCATCAGCTCTAGCTGCGAAGGTCAATGTGCGCTTGGCGCTCATCCGAGAGGCTGGCAAACTGCCTCCACCCACTGTGCCCGTGTCCAAGTCTCCATCACATATCTCAAACTTTGGAGCTACTGGTTCGAACAATAAGGCAATGGAGATGGGCAGTGATGTGATTTCCAAAGGGTCAACCGTGGTTGTAGTGGACGATGTGCTTGCCACTGGAAAGACGCTCTGCGCAGTGTTGCAGCTGTTGCAAAGCGTCGGTGTCACTCCCAAAGACGTCACCGTCAATGTTGTTGCTAAGTTTCCCGTGCACGGCGGACGAGCGTTACTGCATCGTGAAGGCTTAAGCGAGGTTAAGATCGAAAGCCTCCTAGTATTTGGTGATGCTTGAGTACTTGTAGGTGGTTTTCATTAAGTGCATATCAAGAGCTTGTAAAGTAGCTACCGGGACACCTGTTTGACAGAGGATTTGCCTTGAGTACACGGTTGTAGTTTACTTAGCCTTGAATACACCCCTTATACCTACTTTAATCAATTCAAACCCATCGAACATGAACCCGAAAACACCCAACTGTCACATGTATCAAATCATATATATATCCTCTCTCGGAGAGACGTTATCAAAGCAGCCAACGTGGTCTGGATGCAGCTAAAACACGCTTATACGTTCATACTCGCCTACGTTCCCCGTTGGGAGCAGAGCAAGGCCGTGCGGTGTGCATTTCCCGCTTGCCAGCATAGGGCAGGACGCCAAGACTTGCATAAGCCAGATGCGCCGATGCTTGGGCAATTCGTCAGTGTCAAATCGAATCTTGCCTGGTATGTTTGCTGTCCCAGAATAAAAGTCTTCTGGAAACCCCGGCGTCTCGTCTGGGTCTAGACTTTTTACCAATCCTTCCCGCTCCATCGTCGAGATTGACACAGGCAGATGGCAGTTATCATGGTGGCGAGCTTTACTGTGCGGGTGCAATCAACGGCACCGTTGAAGGAGAGCCAAGAACAGGTTGGTGCAGTATACTGACCGGTTCTTTCGCCTGGTGTCCTAGGAAACATTTCTCGCAAATGCTTGAAGCTTCGGCAAAAACTAGATAGAATAATTCAGCTTCATCTCTAATAATTTACGAGTGAAGGCATCATACTCAAGGAAACTGACTTGAGAAAATTCATTTGGTGTTTTTGGGAGCGGCAGACATCCACCCAGGGAGTCCTCTGACAAGCTTCGAGATTTGCCAATCTCTCGCGCTGAACCACAGAAACTTTCTCGGGTCAGCCTCTGCCTACGCTGCGATTCAGAAGTGATGCCATCGCAACGATTTATTTCTTTATGAGAGGCTTCGATTGGCGGACGTAGACGTTTGGACACACAGTTATCGTCATCAGAACCCGTGACTACGAAGGGGGGCAGGGGTCTTTCTTTATCTTTCGTTTCTTTGAGAGTCTCGGGATGAAAGGGCGGAATACATGATCGCTCTCTAGCAAGACCTTTGAAGAATATCTTTTGTGTAGCTATGAAGCGGGGTCATTCATCCATCCATCGCATCAATCGATGTCTGGTGACAGTGTATGATAACCTAAAAGGCGCAATGCCTCGGAAAACTTCCATTGGGCGGACGATCTACGTAACAAAATGCCTTAGCCCCTATTATTGCTGTCGACGTATATGGTAAGCTGGAACCTAGCTACCTCATATTAATTTTCTATTATATTCAGTATTATATAATGAAGTAAGTATATACAGGAGCCCAGATACATCTAGCACCTAAGATCTCGCAATCTCCTGAATAGCACCCTCATACAAATTGCGCGTGCTATCGCTATCCGCAGACACACGGCTACCTCTGTTGCTGTCTACCTCAATCCTCGTGGTGACTTTAATCTGGCTGCGGTCGTGGCCCAAGGTGCCCGGTACAGAGGAATTATTGCCTGTCGCTGTCGCGGATGTCACATTTGTCTTAATATTCTCCATGTGAATCGCCTCCCCCTGGCCCGTCATCGACTGACCCTTTGTATCCTTCTTCGTCCGGCTGCCAGAAAGCTCGACAAAGGCGCCTGTGTTAGCACCCGTCAGGCCGCTCAAAGTGTTGCCAGTGCGGTGCTGCACGAATTCGACAAGTTGCCCAAAAACGGCAAATTCGAGCTTCAGCTTGACCGAGTACGTAATGACCTTGACTCCCTGCTCCCAGAGGAATAAGCTCTTGTACTCGATGGCGAGGAGAGCAATGTTCATGACAACGATGAACACATTGATGGAGTACAGCTTCCAAAGGAACACCCTCTTGCTGCCAAAGGCTGTTTTGAGTATCTTGATCGTCTTCCATATGTAAAGGCCAGAAATAATGAACTCCTGGACACAGAAGCATGTCATTTGCACCTTTTCTAGGATGTTAAAGACATGGTTGAAGACTACATTAGTATCACCGGTTGCGTAGGCCGAACCGAAGAGAAGGACGGTGATAGCAGGGTGCCAGACGATGCCGTTGGCAATGATCATGCCCAGCACACCCCGCAGAATGGTCGTATTCTGAAGAACCAGGTGAAGCCTCGAGTACAGGACCACAGAGTGACCTGAAACCAGCAAGACCCATCCAATGGAATCAATGATCATACCCACCCACGCATGGCTGAAGCGGAATTGGATAAGCATCCATCCGATACAGTAGGGGATGATTCCAAAGGAGGCGAGGGAGATGCTCCAAAAGTACAGGCCGCTGCGTCGCTTAAAGTTAAGGAATATAAGGACAAGGAGTTCGATGGCGTTGTACAAGGATAGGACCGTAGCGATCTGCGCGGCAAGGGAAAGGGGGCAATTAGCACAATTAGGTGGGTTTTGGCAGTCGACCAACTGAGACATGAGAGGAGAAGGAGAGAAGCACTTACCAGAACCAAAACATCCTCAGAGGAATAGATATCCTCAGTCATCCTCCCGAGAAGCCTCCCTCTGGAGACATCCATGAAGGCGGACATGTTACCAGCCACAATTGGGGTCAAGATACCAAGAAAGAATCAATGCATACATACAGCCCACTGAACTCGGGATCTCCCCGTCTTTTTAACCATGGTAGAACCTCCCCCCCCCGTCCCTGATCACTTCCAACCTGGTTTTAGAAAGACTAGCACTAGCATCCTTCACCAGAAGGGGAATAGTTGTCTACTACTTGCGAAGGTAGCGCTCCGGGGAAGTTAGTGGGTGCCCAATCCCCATGTTCTGAGCATGGCCTAAGTCCCATGGCCCACCTCCGCGAAGGCCGTTGAGTCGATGATGGGGGAGCTGAAAAACTAGGTAAAGGGTGTTGTGCCCCCCTGGACTGGGGCACAACGGTGCTAATCTGAATAGGTCCAGGCCCCGAGTCAGTCTAGCTCCTGCGCCACAATGAGAGCCTTGCAATCCGATTCGCTGTATTAAAGAAGGTGTACGGATTAAGTTGTAACCCTGGTCAACCGAACACCCCCCTCAACCGAACACCCAGATGAAAATCGCGATAGATTTAAAAATCAATATAACAATATCAATTTAATAAATTTTCATATAAGAAGCTATTTAATTTACTACTGAAAGTATAGCTCTTTAAAAATATAATTTTCTAATTCCTCTAGTACCTCTATCTTATCCAGGATTATATTATATTATACTGCTTATTTCGCTAGCTATTTAACTATTAAGAACTTACTATTCGGATTAGGAAGTAATTAAGTCTGTTTTTTCAGTCTAAGTATCTTATTTTATCTCTCTAATTATATAATCTTTACTATATTAAGTAATATCTTTACTTATTATTTATTAAGACCCTTATAAATCTTCTAGAATAATAGTCTTATTAGTAGATTAATAACCTTATTATTAATAAAATTATAAATAATCTTCTAGACCTAGTAACTATCCTTAGGTATTAAAATATCTAGTTTATAATAATCTTTATACTTTATCCTAGCTCTTAGAGGAGTTAAGGGAGAAGTTAAAAGTAGTTAGAAGGGTCTAAATATTAGTTTTATTATATATAGGCTTATTAAGGGTTTAATTATATTAATAGGCTATAAGCTAGATCCCTTTTAGTCTGAGTAAATATTTATATCTATTAGACTGATTAATTAAGTCTTTATATAATACTAAAGAAAGGTTATCTTACTAATTAGTAATAAATTAATTAGAATATACTTTTTTATAAGCTCCTTATAATATATTCTCTTAACTAGTAAAAAAACTAATATATTAAGTAGTTATAATATATATAATAAATATAAAGATAGGAAAAAAAGAAATATATTATTCTGAAAGTATCTAATTATAAATTTATTAGTTATATAACTTCTATAGCTATTAAGGATAAGTAATCTAGATCTCTTAGTCTTAGATTTTATTAATAGAATAAAGATTAGATCTAGCTATATAAGAGTAATCTTATTATTTATCTAGCCTATTATAGAAGCTATAAAAAACTACTTCTTATATAGCTTAAGTTTAGAAGGAAATTACTACTATTAAATCTATTTTCCTTAGAAGATAATAAGAGGAGGAAGAGCTATATCTAGAGTATTAATAGATTTAATAGTAGTTACTAAATTATAAGATCCTAACTACTTTAGAAGAGTATATTACTTTCTTAATATTATAAACAAGGCCTCTATTAGGCTATATAAAGTTATATATAAAGTATAGACCTACTAGGAGACTATAACTAATAAGTATAAATCTATTATCTAAGCAGTATAATAGCTAAGTAATAGATAAGTAATAACCTTATTATATATATATATTTATTTTATTAGGTAGAATACTTCTTTAGATAGTTATTAATATAATTATCTATATATCTATTATTACTAGCTTTATAATACTTATATATTAATAGTAACTTATATTATATAGCTTAAAATAATCTAATTATACTACTTAGAATAATACTCTAATTAGTTTAATCCTAATTTACCCTAGACCCTATTTAGTATAAGTTAATCTAACTATTATATATTAATAACTCTTATTTAGCTAATTATCTTATCTTAATTACTATATAATAATAAAGAAGATACTATAGCTACTATAGTTCCTCTAGTCTAGTAGTAATACCCTATTATTAATAATCTATCTACTCTATATATTAAAGATACTATAGATAAAGATAATAGTAGTAGTAGTAGTAGTAATAGAAATAATAATACTAAAATTAAGCTCCTATAAGTCTAGATCTTTTAGCTTTAGGAATATCTTATAATTATATAGTAAGAAATAGCTATTACTACTAACCTTATAGGATAATAAACTACTTAGAATACTAATCTCTAAGCTTAGGCTTAGACTATAGCTTAGGAAAGGGAATTAGAAGTACTACTTAAACTACTATTACTTAAGATATTTAATAGAATTTAAAATAAACTTTAAGGCTTTATAACTTA